ATTAGTTTTATTCCGTTAGTAATAGACTGCTGGTTGATGTGACTTTGTAGATACGTTATCTAATTGACATATTATTCTACGTGACCTCAATGCCGTCTAATGCGTAGGTCATTATTGACTCCATCAAAGCAATTTATATAAAAGAGGTAATTGTGGTTGAGTTATTGAAAATTAATTTCAATTTTGTCGTAATTATGATTGAATATTCGATAAAAATTTGGTTTGAAGTGCACACTTGTCAATCGACTTGTTTGTTAATTCAATGAGGATGTTTTAATTAGAAATTATTCTAATCAAGATCATAACTCGATGTTCCTTTAATGACTATTGCAATTTGCAATCAGTGGACTTGCTGGACTGTGCAGTATTTAATTGGGCGCTCATGCAATTTGCTATCACTTTGTTTTACTTACTGGACTGTGGAGTACCTAAGGCGGTGCTACTGTAATTTGCTATCACTTTGTTTTACTTACTGGACTGTGGGGTACCTAAGGGGGCACTCTTGCAGTTTGCAATCACTTTGTTTTACTTACTGGTCTGTGAAGTACCTAGGGGGCACTTCTGCAATTTGCAATCACTTTGTTTTACTTACTGGACTGTGGAGTATCTAAGGGGCACTCCTGCAATTTGCTATCACTTTGTTTTACTTACTGGACTGTGGGGTACCTAAGGGGCCACTCCTGCAGTTTGCAATCACTTTGTTTTACTTACCGGACTGTGGAGTATCTAAAGGGGCACTCCTACAATTTGCAATCACTTTGTTTTACTTACTGGTCTGTGAAGTACCTAGGGGGCACTTCTGCAATTTGCAATCACTTTGTTTTACTTACTGGACTGTGGAGTATCTAAGGGGCACTCCTGCAATTTGCTATCACTTTGTTTTACTTACTGGACTGTGGGGTACCTAAGGGGCACTCCTGCAGTTTGCAATCACTTTGTTTTACTTACCGGACTGTGGAGTATCTAAAGGGGCACTCCTACAATTTGCAATCACTTTGTTTTACTTACTGGACTGTGGGGTACCTAAGGGGCACTTCTGCAATTTGCAATCACTTTGTTTTACTTACTTGACTGTGGAATATCTAAAGGGGTGCTTCTGCAATTTGAAATCAGTTTATTTTACTTACCGGACTGTGGAGTACCTAAGGGGGCGCGGCTCGGTCCTCTAATTAGACCGTCGTTTGAAAACAGTCTTACACTGTTACGGCACATCTCTAGAAGCTATGTCTATAGTCCTTGCCCTAACACTAAGAAAGATTACGTTGCGATTTAAAACAACAAATTCTTAAAAGACGCTTACAATTGACGTTAATTAATGATGAATAATATACATGATTAAAGAACAACTCATTGTCTTTAAGAAGTGGGAAACGTAATAAATAATAATTGTTACTTAAAATAGATATTGCGAGATTAATATAATTTATTCAAGAAAAAAAAGGACAGGAGGATGACAATGATAAAGTTATGCTTCTATTTTCTTGGCATTTTGCTTAAATTTATAGTCGGTTATGTATAAAAGGAATTAAATGTTAGTTGATACCTTCTGTGTTTGATCTTTGTACCTGTAATATAAGTACGGGGAACCATTAATATGCTATAACGCTGAAAATACCACAAAAAAAGGCGAATTGTCTAAATTGTTCGTAAACAATTTTATAGACGCTTTAAGTCTCCATAAGCAAAATAAGCTATGGAGCTATCATCTATCTATAAAAGAACCAAAACACATCTATTTATAGGTTCTGACACTAAAGAGCATAATAGAATCATGTGTTAAAGAAACATAATAATAAATGTGTTTATTATCTTCAGACAAAGCTATTCTAATAATAGCACTTCTTTGAAGACGGGACTCTTAACGCAGAAAATAATATCGGATTTCTTCAACGTCCAATTAACTACAAAAGAAAACAATCCTTTATACATAGAACTTCTATATTTAGCATTACTTTATCTACCTCTGTTAACATTCTTCGTGTTTTGAAAAATGAGTTATATTATAACTAAACAAGAAACAATATCTAACAAATGCCAAGATTCTGTCCGAAGAAATAACCAGCCTTCTGAGGAAAAGACCAGCTTAGAAATTTCCTTGTATGAAATGTGTTCAGTAGGACTCCATGGCCTAAGGCTTTTGACTCCCAAAACTCCGAGTAAACTAGAGTAATTTCGCCATTTGACACTAACTCAGTTATGCCGGAATACTGAAACGTTACTCAATTTTAACCCGTCGAACGTCCGCGTTCCTTATGATCCAACGGGTGCACGTGACATTTGGAGAAAGAAAGAAAGAAAATGCATTTATTTGGCCATTGGCACACGAAAACAAGGATCGTTACAATAGAAATAAAAAAAAATACAGTCAAAATAAAAACAAAACATTAATAATATAATAGATTTTATAAAAGAGAAAGCAGCATGGAGCATTTTTTCTTATGATCCCCCGGGTGCTCATAAGGACGCTCGAGGGGTTAAATCGTGCTTAAATATCGTGCCATCTCTGTCATTGCACAAAGAATTTATAGAGACAGAACTATACTTAAGCGCGACTTAAAATTGAGTACCTAACAATGCTTCTATTTGATAAAGTAATCAAAAGTCCAAATGTTTGTGAAGTGGACTTTAAATCGTGACTAATATTTAGATGAACAAAGGACTATTGCGTATGTAAAGCTGGACATTAACATTCAATGTACATCACATACGAACTTAAGTGGCGATGTACAAACTCCTTCTTATATGTTTAATACAAGCGAATAGGAAGGAGGAAGATATAGATTGCACGTGTTGTAGTATAGCTATGTCGTACAAATGTCGTATATTATGAAAAATGGCTGTGATTATATTGACTCAAGTTACGCAAACGTGGCTTTGTGTGGGAAATTGTATGTGCTAGAGTTTAGTAATGCATTTTATCTATAATGCAATAATACTAACTATGCTACTTGTAGTAACATAAGTAGAATTGGGATGATGACAGGGTATGGAAATTAAAAATATAATTAGTCCGTAAATTAGGTAATGAAAAATGAGAGACGGATTTTATTTATTTTGTCGTATAATAAAACAATACTTAGATAAAACGAATCAAAGTTTAGGAGTGGGTGCTGAAACGTCATTTTTACGTATAAAATGTACATAGAAGTGACGTCACGCGACATTTCAAATCAATATATTGTCGAAAGTATTCGTTTCTGTAAGAAAATAAAAAATACGTGTCTAATGATTTAAAATAATCTACCAGACGGACATTAATTAAAGGCCACTGCATCAACTATACAATAGGGTAGATGCCTAATTTTTATTAGTAGCAGTGGCTAGGCAACAGTTGAGTAAGATGTCGCAGACCCGATTCTCGCACGGGATAACTTTGATGGTGATTCATTAATTTTGGTTTTTCATGTAGCTGTAAATACATGTTTGTTAATAAACTCCAACACTGTTTGTGTTTGTAATTCTTGTGGAATGAACTATCCCTGGTTGTGTTTTCGAACCTATATGATCTTTATATTAAAAAAAAAGATATTCTCCTTAAAAGGCCGCCAACGCACTTGTGGCTGCTCTGGTGTTGCTAGTGTTCATGGGCGATGATGAATATGATGATCACTTACCATCACATAAGCCGTCTGCTCCTTTGCCCCCTATTCCATTAAGACTCATTACATGGTGAGAAAATTATAGCTTTTCAAAAGAAAATAAGACATAGACCTTATATGATAAAAAACAAAAAAAAGTTTAGTAAAGTTGTAATTATAAAATGCACAGACCTTAAAGACCTTGAAGATTCTATATAATTTAACTAATACTGCATGCTCTTAGAAATGACTTGCAATAAAATACAAAGTTATTCCTAAGTTGCATGCAATGGGTGCAATCTGCAGGTACCTACAGGCGATGTGAGAAAAGAAACCGGTCGTTTTCAAGGAAATATAATTTAACATCTTTATGTTTACCTACTAAGTTATTGTAGTTATTTGGCAATTACAATTCTTGTAGATGAGTAAAGTGTTGTTGAAGTCAGAGATTATTCTTTACTAGCTACTTCCCCGCGGTTTCTCCCGCTCTGTTTGGCTCCTGTTGATCAAAGCGTGATGTTTTATAGCTTATAGTCTTCCTCAATAAATAGACTATCCAACACAAAAAGAATTATTCAATTCGAATCTGTAATTTCGAAAATTAGCGCGTTCAAACAAACAAACAAAAACAAACTCTTCAGCTTTATAATATTATAATATTAGTATTGATTTCCTAAGACTGGACACGTTTAAACTATGTAGCATGACCATACTGAGTAGTCGGATTTTACCATTATTATTGGTTGAAACATAGAACCAATAAATTAATTCTGTCATCCTATTCCATGGCTATGGTGTCTAGAGCTACTATAATAAAGTAGTTTTACAATTTTCTGATAGCAAGCCTATCATTATAGTAATTTACGAAAGAATAATATCTAGATAAAAAAAACATAAAATGGTCACCAGTCACCATTAAAAACAGAAGCGAAAACCAATTATTTTATTTTGAGAATTTCGAAAATGTTAGACGTGGCTCCTTCCGAAGATATGATTATATCGTCGTCAGAAACACATATAATAAATGTATTCAAGTATAAAGATTTAACATTTTTTGCACAGGTAGGTCTGTGAACCGTGTAAAAACTCGACTCTAAGCAAGCAGCACGTTTAATAACTTAATGCTCTGTAATTACTTAAATTCTGAAGGTTCTTCGCTTGGATAATCTGATATTTTAATATGACGACAATATTTATGATCAAGTTTTGAAAAATCGGGTCTAGTTTATTGTCAAGGCTGGTATCTGGATAAGTTTGAATAAGATGAGGAACTTGCATTCTCTTTGAGGCTACCTGCAAAACAGAGACATTAACAATGTCTGACACCTTTTCTTCTTCGTTCCTTTCTACTTTGTCTTCTTCATTTTTAATGTCATTTATCAAATCCTCTTAGCACTCTAATTCTTCTTTTCTTTCCCGCAGATGTGAAGACAATTCTCAAGTCGGTCTCTGGCCGACTCCGGTCAGGGGAGCTGACGGCCATTATGGGACCTTCAGGCGCTGGCAAATCCACACTCCTTAATATCCTCACAGGATACAAGTAAGTCTACTTACCATGAACCATTCTATTGTTTCAAGTCCTGCCAATTTTATACCCGATTTGTAAACTTGCATGGACTCGTTGACTTAAGTGTATAGTATGATGAGTGTGTTCAAAAACTCACTCAGCAAATTTAGGGTCATCTAGGAGTGTTTGTCTTTCTAAGGTTGTTTGTCAAGTTTCTATAAATTTCCATAAACAAAATAACTGTAGTCGGTAAATACTTGGAACTCTTACGTCATTTGCGTAAGGTAATGTCAGATTATTTTTTTTCTTTTATACGGTTTTAGGACATACAATGACATAGGAACTAGTGGTTCAAAAATACGTAATAACGTAATAGTATGAAGCGATAAATTGATTAAAAACAGATAATTGTTTCGAATTGATTACGAAGCTCATTTTACGATGGAATCAGATTTCAAAATGGCGGAGTTTATGAATTTCAAGTGCATTTATATTGTCTTCTACAGAACTAATTATTGTACTTAAATGCGATATTCTAAAAAGTATATTATAATAGATTGGATTTTGAACTATGATATACAACTGATTATTGGGAATTTACTTTCAATGTCAAATGATAAAATGAATTGTTGCTAAACGTCTTAAAAATATTCCGGTTTACTTTGACGAACGTAGAAATCGCATAATATGTGAATATGACGTACTTACCTATCTGGTTTGTTTGCATATAATTTTCTCAAAGCGTCTGTTCAATTCTAAATACTAAGCTGCCCGATTATCAACCCTAGTGTACTTGATTTAAAGAACAGAAGATATTTGCAATTTCTTATATTCATTAATTACCCTGATACGTCATTCATGTAGATCTACTACGACTTTTTAAACCATCTTATGTTCTAACTTACATAATTTCTATCTACTAATTCTTATGTACTCGTTCGTATACCTATTATGTACATTTGTGATCTCCTAGTGCCATCGTTTCTAGTATACCTACTTGCCAGCTTGCGACATGTGTGTTATGCAATTTGAACGCATAAGCAAACTATGACACAAATACTTGTAGATAGTAGAATTTTCTGTCATGAATAGGACTTTTATAAATTATTATGTTTTCGGCTTACTCACGTAATTATTTGACGAGGAACTCGACTAGTTTCAAGCCATGCTAGAGGCTCATATTCATGAGCGGCATTTCGAAACCTGCGACGCGGCGACTGTCGCGCTGCTACTGAAAACATAATAATTTATTTAGTATGTCTCACGAAAGTTATAATACAAATAGGACTTTTGCTCGAGTTTCTCATTAATTGATGATTAAGGACCAACATTTTTAGGGGATGGGGGATAATTATCCAATGTGTTCTCCCGCCTGGGTGAGGGGAAGGGAGTGTCAGACTCTTACTGACTAAAAACCACCCCGTTCCTACTCCTGCACTTCGAGCCGGAGCCCCGGTAACGGTCGGCGGCTATGTTCAGCCCACGCAGGGCATTCCGCTACAGTGTGTTCCACCGTGTCCTCAGGGCGGTCCTCGCAGTGATGACACCACAGCAGACGGGTAGAGTAGATTAAGTATATTAGTTACTAATCTACTATGCCTACTCCGTTTGCAGATGTCATAAGAGCCGACTAAGGGACTACCCATTTGGTAGACCAGACAGAAACTCTATGCTATTCCCAAACATTTAAAATTGTGATTTTCTACGGGCTGGAAGGCGAGGAGATTATCGCCAACCGTCTTAATTAGAGGCAGCCCATTATTCGACTGTGGACTGTGACAGGCTGATGATGTTGATATTGATGCCATTTACATAATAATTTAAAGATCTGACTGCCTCGTTGGCCGAGTGGTCGCAAGTGCGACTGCCGGGCAAAGTCTTACTGGGTTTTTAAAAATTCTCAGTAGTAGCACGGAGTCTCGATTTGTGCCCGGTATATGGCAATAGGCTCACCACCTACATTACACCGGACTCATAACATAAATAGTGAAAGGTGGGTGGTTACATTGTACAGTGGCATAATGTACACCAGTCTTTGAGGATAAAGGGCGTGATGTTATGTATGTATGTTCAAAGATCTTTCATAAATGTGTGAAGATGTTTCCATAAATCTTCAAAGCTATTCACATAGAACTGGCAATATACATCTCATTGCTTTTAATTACAAAGAGACTTGATACTTGAAGTAATTCTTTTTAATTTGTACCTTGTTGTGATCACGTGTCTTCTATGACTACAAATCCTTCAAATTCTTGATCGAAGCCAGTTTTTTTTTAAAACACGAATTGTTTCCAACATTCTTATTCTTATTTGTATGTATTGTGTAATGCGTCATTTAATTCTGTATTTAGTGACATCTGTATGTCTCAATGTCACTGTACTTTGGATCTTGACAAAGGGCTTGTAAATATAAATACATAAGTATAAGTATAGGTATAGAGAATGTTATTTTTGTTCGCAAAGGATTTCTTTTATGGCAGTTATTCTTAGCGGGTGTATTTTCCTAGACCTTTACTCTTCGGAGTCGCGGAGAACCTAACGGGTAACCGGGGCTCCGGCTCGACGTGCACGAGAAGGAACGGGGTGGTTTTTAGTCAGTAAGAGTCTGACACTCCCTCCCGCCTCACCCAGGCGGGAGCAGGAAATCGATGATTTCCCCCCCTTAAAAAAATGACCTTTAACTACTCAGTGATTTATTGGATTTTGTTCATGGTTATAAGTCATTCGTTATCCTTATTAGGAAAGGAAGAAGTGTACAGTTGAACTCGGGTAGCCATAATCTTCATGCTTGGCAAACGACTTGAGAGTACCGACAGTTTATAGGCCGCCGCTGCCCATTCATCGGTGGCTGATCGCAGTTTAGGACGTACCTAGGTCTATTTATTTATTTATTTAATAATTTATGTACACACAAACAGCACAGGGGATAACACATATATAAAATAAGAGTACAAAGGTGCTATTTATTCCTGTTGGAATTTTTTTCAGTAGACCTGGAAATGTAATTAAAAAACTGTTGAAGGTTAATCCTAACCTAACCTAACACCGGTCACCGGTGACCCCCATGGCGTTCAACGTGTTAAAATATAAGACACAGTGTGTAACATTTATTTTTTTTTATTTATTATTACATTACAGTACAGTTTAAAAAATTTTTTGCACCATTAAACCACAGCTGGTTTGTATTTGTTTATTTGTTTGTAGGATAGATTTATTTGTTTATCGATTACTAAATTCGAGATTATGGCAAACCCTTTAATGTAGGGCAAACCCAGTCGAGCAGTGTGGGTCGTCACGGGTCATTAATGATGTAGCCACTTTGCTATTTATGACAATAATAAACTTATATCAGGCCATTAACTGCTCACGTAGACATTTAATGGGATTGTTAATTCACAATCGATCGTTAATTGCGTTTTTAAATACCGTTTATTACATTCCTAATAACAAACATACCTACCGTTAATTGACTATTTTTTAAATATTATTGCTTAACATTGGTCATGTAGTTATTGTAAAGCTCTTATATCGAAGTGTTAAGGCTGTTTTTGTCCCCGATAGTTAAGGTCCCAGCACCAGAAGACGTATTAACCTTTGCAGTGCACAAATGACTTTGAGTTTTCTTAATTTGAGTCTTATTTCTACATAACAGAGATCAAAATTCCTTTCAATAAGATCATGTATGTACAGAATATTACTAATCCGTAGAGCAAAACAAATAATATTGTTTTCATCATCAAACCGGACTCGGTTATCAAAGCAGTAGTAAGTGGGTCGAGCGTCCGAGTGCGGTCATTTACGCAGTACTACATGTATTGCAAATGTTTTTATACATATGTACAACAGAAACATAGACATACAAGTATAGAATACTAGCTATACCGGTGTCAAGTGTCATCATTGGCGCTTCTTCCTGTCTTTATTTCTACTTAATTGGTTCAAATTATCTTCTTTTTTCTTTCTTCTCTTTGAGACAACAAAGTTTTATGTATTTAATCGTGTGTATTTAATACTAGTTACTTCCGCGCGGTTTCACACGCTCTGCTCAGCTCCTTTTGGTCGTAGCGTAATTTTTATACCCTATAGCCATCCTCGATAAATGCGCTATCCAACACAAAAAGAATTATTCAAATCAGACTTGTAATTACGGAGATTAGCCCGTTCAAACAAACAAACAAAAAAACAAACTTCCGCTTTATAATAGTATAAGATAAAACGTGTAACATAATTACGTTTTCCCGGGTTAAAAAAGATTCCTTTTTTAAATGCCATAGTGTAGATGTCCATCTCAGTTTCTTCATAAAAAAACCATAGAATAATTTTTACGTGTTGTGTTGCAAACTCAAGTTTATAATATGCGTCGTTACGCTACAGGAATTAGGTCGGTTTTTGTTTATCTGCTTACCTTCATTTTCGCAATTTTAACAGTAAACACAGCAAACCGCAAGTACGTTGATGAGCGGTGTGTAATTTGGAGAAGTAACAGTAGTCAAGAATGTTGAATTTGTTTTATTAGGTTACTGAAAAATAACAGAAGATATTTTAACTTGAGCGGCTTAGTCCTACTGCCTACGGAAATATACGAATAGGCCGAACAGGCGGCCTACAAGCACAGATGACAAATGCTTGCATCTTGCTTAGTAACAACGAAAACTGTCCACGAAGCGGCAACGACAACTCTGTCTATCTTTATTTGATGAATGCATGCTTTCGTTAAATGAAACGTCGTCGTGGACAGTAGACCTAAGGATATTTAATTTCAAAATTGATACCCTATAAGCAAAAAACTATATTGATATTGATATTATAGATATTGTTGGTCCAAATAAGATATATCGAAAAAGCCTGTTTTCTGATGAAATGGAATGGATGTAAGTAATTTTTCGCATGTGGGCAAATTGATAAAAACTGATGTATCTAAATTATAATTATAAAGATTTTTGGAAAGATGGTGGGTTGTCTCATTCTTGTGTCTAAACGTAAATAGTTTGTTATTATTCCCATGAAAAAGAAACCAAGTTTCCGTCCTATTGTTGAGAGAAGCGAACATAATGCTCCCATTCCAATTCATAGAATCGATTCTAGATTACTTTTGTTCTACTTTCGGAAACAAAATAATAGTAATTATAATTAATTAACGACTTTAAACATAAAATATCTTAATTAAATCAATTTTATTATTAGAATAGCGTGTTAGACCACTTTTAGTTTTTTAGGATCAAATATAAAACATGTTAAAATGGCGACGGAATATTTTCCTATCTACTTATTGACGTCACATGTCATAGAGTTGCTGGTTGATTTTTTTTTAGTTTGGACCCAAGGCCTTATGTAATTATTTCTAGTTAGACCACTATTTTAAACTGAGATTAATTAAAAAAAGGTTGGGGGAGAGTTGATGCCTGTTTTTTATACACAATATTATGTGGTGTGTGTCATGTTAATTCTTATTTATTTTATGAATCTATAAAACCATAGTAATTGGTCTTTAATTAGAATTCAGCCAAAAATTAGTCCAGTCAAAACAGTTTTCTATTAGTAGTCAAAAGCTTAAGCAATATAAGGAGTGTTTTGGTAGTTTATTCACACATCGGGTTACATTATCGAAATTTTCACTCTTTACCTTTTTTCTCTCTTATTAAATATAGCCTATGTTTATCATCGATAATGTAAAAAAAAGAAAATGATTCAACAAAATGATTAAATTTTTATTTCATGGATTCCAACGGTAAAAGAATTTTTCAAATCGGTCCGGTAGTTTCGGAGCAGATTCAATTCAAACAAACAAACAAACAAAGGAGAAATCAAAATTTTCCTCTTTATACTATTAACTATTAGTGTAGATACACATCTAGGTACGCTAGGAAAACAATTTTTAATATATAAACAAATCACTGTCATACATGACATTAAACACATCAGTTTCGCAGTGAAAGCTTGATAAACCAAACAAACAGTTACTTTCGCACTTTATAGTATTAATACATACATCTATATTATATTGATTCCAACTAACTGACACACCTATATTGTTGTTCTACAAAGATACGATTATAAAAAAAAACTTTAAGTGTGGGGTTTAAAGGAAAGTTCGCAACACCGCGCCTGTCACTTAACACACTTGCGCAGTGCAGCGAATGAAAGTCTCTACCATTACGGTTGGTAGGTACTAGTACTAGGTAAAGCAATCTTGCAAGTAGAACGGATTTTATTGCAATAGACATAATATATGCTATTGTGTGTTCTTTGTAGAGAATATAATACTCGTGTGTATGTTTTAAATGTATCTAATCTATCTTTGTTACACAAAAGATTATTTTTAAACCGACTTCAATAAAAGGAGGTTTTTATGTTATCATACCTCAACTCAAATGTGTAATAATTTGTACGTTTTTGAACATGAATTAGGGAATATAGTTCTATAGGTATTTTGAAGTTAAGTTTTATTTAGTTATTGGCACTCAAGTTAACATGTTAAAACATGTACTGTCTTGCGGTTTCACCCGCTCTGTTTGGTACCTATTGATAATAGCGTGATGCTTTATAGCTTATAGCCTACCTCGATAAATGGACTATCTAACACAAAAAGAATTTTTCAAATCTGTCCAGTAATTCCTGATATTATCGCATTCAAACAACCTAATTAAAAAATGACTGTAAAAATTTTACTTGTGATAGAATGAAATCTACACACTACACTTATTTTGAACTAGAATAATGTATTAAGTGAATAATTAATTAGCAAATGATAACTTGGCTATTATTAAGAGTAATTTTCCTCTAAGAACGGCTCATTCGCTATTAATGAAAATGTCAATTATAAAGCGATTTAGCGAGACATAGAAACAATACATTGGAATTGACACCGTGTTGTTGGGATTCCCAAGAAAATACACTTAAGTGGCATTATAATCGTCCAAAAATAAAACTACAAATAGTTTGTACGTCACTTCATTGTGTCTAAATATTATTTTATTAAAATATTCTCGTTCTGTCCTTCTTCACGTAGTTTTTATTTTAAAAAAGTTTTTTTTTAAATATACTTCATTATCATCATATCAAAGTAAAAATATATTTCAACCAGACCAGGAAGGCACTTTTGAATTTCAAAACAAAAAATAAAAAATGACAGTCTGTCGGTCAGTCCTCTTGTGAAGCTATGCTCATTCCAAAGCGTAGATTCATATAGAGAAAACAATCAAGAAACTCCATAAGTTACACTTTATTAATCATATTTCATTGGTTTACAATACGCTTCAATACAACCACAAAACGTCAATTACTGAACATGGATCTCTTCCAATGACTTCAAAATCAATTAATACATTTATAAGCAGAAAATGCCTCATTATTATTACAGCTAGCACAGATGGGGCCCAATAGGGCCGATGCCGATTCGGAGTCGCGGAGAACCTAACGGGTTACTGGGGTTCCGGCTCGACGTGCAGGATTAGGAACGGGGTGGTTTTTAGTCAGTAAGAGTCTGACACTCCCTCGCGCCTCACCCAGACGGGAGCAGTCATTCGATGATTTACCCCACTTAAAAAAAATACTTTACTATCTCTTTTCTCCACCACTTTGTCCACGTAACATAATGACTTCTGACAGAAAAGTGAAACAGTATAAGCAATGTTAAGATCTTTTTAATAGATTTTTCATTATTGATTTTATTACTGGATTTGATTGATGGATTACATTATTGAAATTTTTACACGGTTCCCTTTTTTTCTCTTTTTAAATGTAACTTATGGTTATCGCAGACAATGTAGGATTACAATGAATAAAAGAATTTTCCAAATCTGTCCAGTAGTTAAGAAGCCTATTAAATTCAAACAAATAAACAAAAAAAAACAAATCTTCCCTCTTGATAATAATAGTGTACATTTTTTTGCTTATAATATTTGTCGTTCATGTTATAAGTCACAAGAAAGGTCATCAGTCTTCCCATACAATGTACGGTAACCTAGACTCCAATGGTATTGACAATGTCGAAACAAAAGACACTAATAACACTTTGCCCTACAAAACGGTTAGAAATATTTACAATACATTTGTTTTTTTCTGCAGAATATTTAAGACAATGTCCTTTGCGACACCGTGTATAGGAATAAGTAAGGACGACCACTTGTTTTTACATTTCTGATGCACTTGAGAAATGCTCAAGTCAAAAGATTCTTTAGTTATATGTAGGTATGTTTGGAGTCGCGGAGAACTTAACGGGTTACCGGGGCTCCGGCTCGACGTGCAGAAGAAGGAACGTGGTGGTTTTTAGTCAGTAAGAGTCTGACACTCCCTCCCGCCTCAACTAGGCGGGAGCAGGCATTAGATGATTTTCTCCCCTTAAAAAAATACCTATTTTGTAAGCGGTTCACCAAGTTAGTATCATGTCCTAGTTAACCGATGCATTCATTTATAATTTGTTTCCATCGATTAGATAATTTGTTCTATCGCATAGGTAGGTACAGGCTCTGAGGCCACTGGGTGAGCATGTCAATGTCAGGTCTTGCTATTGATTATATCGTAGTTATTTCCAAACATAAACGTGGATATACATCTAAGTACTTATTTTATTTCATCATAGATGCGCAAAGGATTACCCAAAAGAGACAATTTTAGTGGGTCATTCTAAATCGCCAGCAAAATAAAAGAGTCATCAAATGCAACAGATTTGTAACCTTATCATTTTGCAGTACAGTTGAAAATCTATTGCGTGGTTAAAAAATTTATCAGTATTCTTTAACGACCACACTAGGCCATCGCTTAGTCACCATTGTTTTGAGTTATGAGTCAAAAAATCTCTTAATAATAAATCTATTTTATTTAGAGTACCGAGGATAAGTATCGGATTGATTATACGGATGAGTAACAACACTGATATTGATAGGATAACATTCACTGATAATATTTTGATTGTATCTAGTATTAGTCATACAGTACTCTCAAATTGGAAGGAAAAATTTGTTGCTGCAAACAAAAGATCAGATTCTGAAGTCAAGATTGTACAATTACTACTTACTTTATTACTTACTTTATTTGGTGATTAAAATCCATGATTTTACCAATCTCTTCTAAATTTTAGGGAACCCCTAAGCTCAATATATCCTTTTAAACCTTCAAACAGACATGATTTAGCTCGAACTTACAGCGCTGGAAATCTGTGTATAATATCCGATGTCTTTTTGACAAGGTAGAGGCAATATAATCTCGTCTTGGCAACATTGTACTTAAAAAATATTTCTGGTTTATATTATTTACATTCAACTAACATTCAATTATCTTTCTCAGGACATCGGGTATGGAAGGCAGTATCACAGTGAATGGTATGGAGCGCAACCTCTCAAGTTTCCGTAAGCTGTCCTGCTACATCATGCAGGACAACCAGCTCCATGGTAACCTGACTGTGGAGGAGGCCATGGCTGTAGCCACTGCTCTTAAGCTGCCCAGTGCCACTACCAGCGCTGATAAGGAGGAAGTGGTATGTTATTATTGGCTTAAAGAAGATTTTTATTACAAAAATCATGCATTCTTGAGTGAAGTAAAATTTATATACTAAGTGTAAAGTCTTAAATGGATGATTCCTAAACCCAGAAACGAGCACCTAAAGAAATATCTATTTGTTTATTTTTTAATCCAGATGTTCCATGTTATTCTAAGCATTAAATCCGCCAAGAAAAATGTTCTCAACACCACGACGTACGATGGTACTTATGGCTACTGCACGCGTCCAGTATCTCATGTCAATACTATTTCCAGATCCACGAAATCTTGGAAACCCTTGGTCTATCAGAACACCACAAGACGATGACCTCGAATCTCTCTGGAGGTCAGAAAAAACGACTTTCGATCGCCTTGGAGCTGGTGAACAACCCTCCTATTATGTTCTTTGACGAGCCCACTTCTGGTCTGGACAGTTCTTCTTGCTTCCAATGTATATCTCTGCTGAAGACCCTGGCTAGGGGTGGCAGGACTATTATCTGCACTATCCATCAACCTTCTGCGAGGCTGTTCGAGATGTTCGATCATTTGTATACGTTGGCTGATGGACAGTGTGTGTACCAGGGAAGCACTGGACGACTTGGTAAGTTTACTTTGTTTATATTGAATTTTGTATATTTAAGTAATTTAGATTATCACTATGTATAGAATACATAGAGAAGGAATGTTCTAATTAACACATAGACTAAAATGATTTTCATAATTATTATTCTTACCTTGTCTTCTTATTCAAGTAAAGAGGTAAACTAAATTGTTACTTAGAATTCTAGATATCTATCTACGTTTAATACTAGCTCTTACAAAATGACTTTCCTGTAATATAAATGTCCGCAAAATAGTAGTCATGAGTCAACAGCTGTTACATACATTTATCATTGTTTAGTATCGCAATCAGATAACAATAAATCTCTCGCAGGTGATACCTCAATACAAAAAGATGACTAACTTTATTACTATAAACTAATGCACCTGTTCTAACTAGAGTTTAGCTAATGAACGTTTTTGCAAATCTGTGTGGCGCTAGTGTAGCTTTTCGTCTCATAGTCAATCGACTAATTATTTACTAATGTCAAAACATCCGTTTACGTATTGAAATAATAATAATACTTTCTTTAAAATAGGACTTCTAATTAGAAAAAATGAGGTAACACTCTAAATTGGACTAACATGATATATAATAGATAACATTTTATACCTTACAAACGCCATCAGCGGCCCAAAAAATCTGTCACGTTCATTGCGAACATGTTCAGAAACGAGGGGATTTTTGCAATGGAGGTGACAGATTTAATATATTTTATGGATTTATTTATTTACAGTCACAACGGTTAAAAACAAAAACCAATTAAAGTAACTGGACACATTAATAAAATAAACGATGAAATAATAAAACTAGAACAAAACATACACAACGAACCACAAGAGTAAAACTTATTTAAAAAATGGTAGCATTCATAAGTTCCTCTCGCAGTACTTCAGGCATTCCGATAAAATCTCCTTCCATCCGTCCGCAAACAGATCACTAGTTGGACTCCTTATATTTATTTATTTTTATTTATCTCTTATATTTCAGATCTTATTAAGTGTCTTATAATGTAATGTTTTCAACAGTTGAATGGCTCGGCAGTTTGAGCCTGCAGTGTCCGTCGTACCACAACCCGGCTTCGTTCATCATTGAAGTGTCCTGCGGCGAGTACGGAGACAACACTGGCAAGCTGGTGCGAGCTATTGACAACGGAAAGAATGATATTAGGTGAGTTGGTAAAATACATCATTTAGGATTCATTTTCAGGGCCTGTTTCAACAATGTTAATAAATAAGAGTCTGCTAACATATCATCATTATATCAACCACAAGAAGTTTAGTGTTGAGCATAGGTCTCCCTCAATGACCTACAGATGGACACCGGCTCACGGATCGAAGCGACCTTATTACAGCAGTTCCTTGCGACCTATGATCTCAATTAGGCTGTCTGTGTGGTAAACTACTATCAGATAGGCTATCTACTTAGATTCGAATCGTCAAATGTCGTTAACAAATTGGGCAAAAATTTTTAAATGTATAGGTGTTTATTTTTGCCATTGTAGGCACGTAAACAAGATTGTCAAAAATTTATGATTACCCTTTAGCGATTGATGTCAATGACTTGTATTTTGTTTAAGTACCTACTTCAGGTCAACAGTTATTTATGTGATTATTTTTTATGTGATTTCGAGTTCAACTTTTGAGATGTACCTACTTAATATTTTTGTACCATTAAAATTGGTAACGTTAAGTTATTAACTGGCAATAGGCCCACCCCCTATTACATGGGGCTCATAACATAAATAGTGAAAAGTGGGTGTTACATTGTACAGTGGCATAATGTGCACCTCTGCCTATCCCTTCGGGGATAAAAGGCGTGATGTTATGTTTATGTGTTAAGTTATTATGATAGGTACTTATAGTAGTGTTTCAATTCCTGCTCGGAATAAATTCTGCGATCCACACATTATTGTTCCTGGTCTGTGAACCTATGGTACAGGAGAAATTCCTAGTTGGTCAACGTTTCTTTAATCCCTTTCAAGCATAACTCATCAATCCTTACATTTCCAGAAATGGCGTGCCGTTCCCTGAGAGCAAAGTGCCAGACTACAACAATAAGAAGGCAATGGAAGAGTCACTGAACACGGAATGGAACAAGAATGACCTGTCTCAAGTCCAGGAGAAGTTCAGAGATGGCAACAACGCTACCAATGGAAACGGCAACTTACAGAATGGAATCTTGCAGTATGCTGCTAGCGAAATTGCTAAAGGTAAGGGTAAGAGTATAAATTAAGTTCTTCACACGGCCTATTTGTCGATACATCATTTTAATTACTAGCATTTGAAGTGTCTGTCTCATAATTTTACAAAGGTTTATTACGTACTTCTATTTTATTATTCTGTGTTATCGAACTTAAATTATAAAATGATTAAAAACAAAAGACGACGTATTCAATCCGTCTATACATTTCCCCCGTGGCTTTCAATTTCACGCACGTGTCGTGGCGTCGAATAACTTATTAATTGCATAATCGACATATTCATTATTTTTTCGATATCATTGTTTCGATACTAATTTTATCGATAAAGATTACCTTTTCAATTCGAAGGCGCGCCGTTAGTTGCTATGCAAACTAGTTATTTCAAATTCAATGTTGAATTATTACATTTTTGTTAAGTAAAAAAAAAAACAAAATATTACTGCCTCGTTGGCGGAGTAAAAAGTAAATACAATAAAAAAATTAGACAGTAATGTTTGTTTATTAGTTCTATCTAAGTTATTCCTGTGTGTTCTTGGGTTTGAAATATGGTGCTCAAATTAATAGCGTTCATACGAATTTTGAGTTCTGCGCAAAATCCGCAGTAAAATAATGTAGTCTGTTGATTCGACGATTAGAAGGAGCAATAAAATATTCAATATATTATGTTTTCGGTTTACTCACGTAATTATTTCACGAGGAACTCGACTATTTCCAAGCCATACTAGAGGCTCATATTCATGAGCAGCATTTCGCGCCCCGCGACGCCTCGTCTAGGTATTACGTGAGTAAGCCGAAAACATAATAATATATTTAGTATGTCTCACGAAAGTTATAATACAATATAATATTCTTTTTTATAAAACATGATATAAACATGGTAATGAACTAATATTTTTTTTTTCAAAAACCTTGATAGTCTAGGCAAAATTTATTGCATACTCAAGCCATAGATATCGACTAAGATATCATACGCAACCTCGGCACAAAAATGACGTCACGACATTAAATATTGATTATTTCCGGTTCCGATTGATAATGATCGTAATAAATTAGATATTCCTCTCATATTCGCTTGCCGATCTTATATCGTACATAGTTTATTCTAATATTATGAAGAGGAAAGATTTGATTGTTTGCGTTGTATAGGCTTTAAAACTTAGTAGTCTAGAGACTGATTTAAAAAAATATCCATCAAGAAAACTAGTTTTTAAGTTTACTGCACGGTTATTGCAGTGGCTAGGCAGCAGGCTATTGAGATACGTGTCGCGAGTTCGATTCCCGCACGGAGCAACTCTTTGTGTGATCCACAAATTGTTGTTCCGGGTCTAGGTGTCATGTGTATGTGACATAACATAACATCACGTTCCTTATGTAACATAACATAACACGCCTTTAACGAAGGGTTAGGCAGAGGTGTCCGAATGGGTACGCAGAGGTGGAGGAGATTACGGCGCTTAATGCCATTGTACAAGGTAACACCCACTTTTCACTATTTATGTTATGAGTCCCATGCAATAGGGGGTGAGCCTATTGCCATATACTAGGCACAATTCCAGATTCCGTGCTACTACTGAGTTTTTTTTAACAAAACCCAATAATACTTTGCCCGACCCGGGAATTGGACCCGAGACCTCTTGCCCGGCAGCTGCACTTGCGACCATTCTGCAACGAGCGTTACGGTAAAATGGGGTCAATAGGGTTTGAGCGGCGAAAAGGGACAAAAGGTGAATCGATACTATGAAGAATTTCCTTATATCTATTCACCCCTCCCTATTCACCTCTCGATCCCTATTTACCCCATTCTGCGGTATGTAAAATAAATAATTTAAATTATAAGGCAAAATGGCCTAATTAGACGTTATGTCCTTAAATATACGACGGTCATATATTAAACAATAATTAATTTAACCTTGTGATAATTTTATACGTAGATAGTAATAATCCGGTAATATTTAAAGAATATACATAAGTATTCAAGATTAGGAATGTCATAGATATCACATTTTGGCTCTGGATACGGAATTGAATGTTTATTGGTTTTGATCACGTGTATGTAAAATTGTAGTGAACCTATTGTTGATTTACGACCGAATTTAATGACTTATTGTTTCTGTCTAAAATCGATAGTTATTCACGGATTTTAGATTGAGATAGGTTTAAGTTTATAACGGCTATGCTTGCGTGGCTCGACTGATCAAAATTAATTAAACGCCTCACATTATACCTCGTCTCTTTCGAATTTAATTTAACCTTTTTATATCATTCATTATCATTTTATGTATATTATCCAAAAATAATTGTTATGTTTTCGAATTATTCACGTAACTGTTTGATGAGGAACTCGACTAGTTTCAAGCCATGCTAGAGGCTCATATTCATGAGCAGCATTTCGCGACCCGCGACGCAGCGACTGTCGCGCTGCTATTGGCTCCTCAAGTCTGCTGCGGTTGCTATTATCCACAACTTTAGTTTTATCCTCGGACTTGTAACACCCCTGAATCATAAAACCACAGATTACGTATTCTATCAACAACTATAAATATGAACTCGTGTCCCGTCATTCACATGTTTAGTTACTATCTACATATCACAGCTTAGCCCTCAATCTGTATAAAGTTAGATAAAAAGGTTATGCAGTTGTACCTAACTGATAAAAGAGATCAGAGGTAACTTGCATCCTGTTTGTAATGTGCTAATTATGTCTAGAAATCTTATTGTATGTTAGATATTCATAATAATTGATAGAATTTAGAATATAATATAATTACTGGCTTCTGTCCGCATTCTCGTGGGATAGAACGTACCCTATGTGTTAATGACTCCACGGTTGGGGCGCGGTGGCTGGGCAACCGGCTGCCGTGCAACGTGTTGCGGGTTAGATTCCCGCACGGAAGAACACTTTGTGTGATCCACAAATTGTTGTTTCGGGTCTGAGTGTTATTGTGTATGTGAACTTGTATGTTTGTAAACGCACCCACGACACAGGAGATAATCCTAGTGTGGGGCAACATTTAAAAAAAAAGTTGTTAATACAGACCATCATCTATCCCTGTTCCAAATATCAACATAATCTCTTCAGCCGTTTTGACTTGATTGAGTAACATACACACTAACAAAGTTATATACGCTTTTATAATATTAGTTAAATTGTAATTAATCTGTTGAAATATCATCCCCTAAATTTGTTCATACAAAAGTAGTCTCTAAACAAAGGAAATAAGGTCTATAATATAGTTAGTGGAGAGCGGTCAGCAGTGGCTTGGGGATAAATGGGTATTTATGGAATTCAAACTTTTTTTATTGAGTGTTTCAACGAGGTGTCATCAAGGTTCAAGATCAGCTATCTATAGAACAATGTTCTCAGTTTTGTTATCAATCATTTACCATATAAGTACTAGGATATAGGTATAAACTAAGCTTTTATGTATGTATTAGCAAATAATGGAAAATGAATAGTTTGAATAGCCATTATACTTATGGGTATAGGACCATTGAGCCATTCATGAACACCTTTTATATGACACATACTTTCATGATACCTACCCATCCTACATCACATTTATAACATAACATAACATCACGCCTTTTATCTCCGAAGGGGTAGGCAGAGGTTTACATGTATACATTACGGCACTTAATGCCACTGTACAAAGTAACACCCACTTTTCATTATTTATGTTATGAGTCCCATGTAATAGGGGGTGAGGCTATTGCCATATACCGGGCACAATTCCAGACTACGTGCTTCTAGTGAGATTTTTTTGAAAAAGCCCAGTAATACTTTGTCCGACCCGGGAATCGAACCCGAGACCCCTTGCCCGGCGGTCGCAATTGCGACCACTCGGCCAACGAGGCAGTCACATTTATCTCGCATAAATACTTTAATATTATGCCTCTATTTCACTAAAGGTCATTAACAATTAATTTTCTACTGCAAAATTTTAGTGAATCACACAATAAATACTAATAAGTACTATGACTCATTCCGTTATTGTTTTTAAATAGAATGTTCTCTATGTATTGTAGTTACGTTCATACTTTTTACACAGAATATTCCTAAAAATTACTCACATAGGAAGGAAGGTGTAACCCGGTAGTACGAAGTCTAACTACATAATTACATAATCAACTTCCATAGCACATTGATAAGAAACCACATTAAACACAATAATTATGAACTTTATACTCTTGATAAACTAATGTCGGCAATGAATTTCCATTAAGTGCTATTAGGATTCTGTTTTATTATGGAATCATTCATTTTGTGGAAGCCATCTTGTTATAAGTTATGTGGCCTTCGATATTGGCCTGAATGGCTCTTTTCGAACTGATAATGTAGGTAACATTTATTTATGTCTATTTCTATGTAACATTTTACATGTTAGAGACATGTGCTTTAGCACGAATAGGTCGCTCATTATCGGGTGTCAAAGTCAAAGTGAATGTCAAGAAATCCTTTTTTTGTTCCGCTTTCACGCCGTAACTACTAAACCGATTGCTTTGAATTTTTGGTGACGTAAAATTAGAAGTCCGGATTAAATAATAGGGTACTTTTTATCCCGAAAAAATATGATATTCCCGAGGGAAAACAAAAGTATTGGTATAGATGGCGCTGTATGTATTGGTATATGTCACATAGGCTACTTTTTATCCTTTTGTGACGTGAGCGAAGCCGCGGGTAAAAGCTAGTACAAAATGAAATATAGTCTGTCAGTCTGTCCGCCAGTGAAGCTAGGTGCTCGTTCCAAAATGTAGATTCGAATGGAGAAAAGCAAGAAACTCCATTCGTTGATCCGTCTTATTAATTTATCGCCATGTCCCATAGAAATATGTAATGACTACCTAACAAAAAAAAAACCTAAATTTATCACTGAAACAATAACCAAAAACCACTGTTCCTAGGTACCTAAGCAGGGGTGCTAATTTTCAATACTTAGTTATATTTATCAATTAAATTATGAGTCTCATGTGAAACTGGACAAGTTTATTGCCCTATACTAAACACATATTGGACCTTATTTCTATTGCTGGAACATCGAATATAACTTTACTCGATTTGTTTTTTTAATGATGAGTAATAATTACGTTAATAAACTACACATTGAATAAAATGAACTAGTATCAAACAATTCATTTAAGTACCTAATACTACTTATTACCATTATATTTGACCACAAAAATATAATGAAATAGTAATGTATGTGTCAGTCTTTTGTGTCTCTTATTATTGTATGTTTTTGTACTACTGTAGGTATAATAGAAATTAACAAAATTACTGTTTGTAGAGGACATGATACCAAAATTGTGGTAGCGCATGCGTGACTAATCATGTTAGATTTATATACGTATACATTCCTAAATAGTTTTCCGTAGTTGTGATTATTTTGACATAATTTTGGGATTGAAATTCACTTTATTTACAAATTGGGATGTTGACTGGGTATGAAAATTAAAAATCTAATTAGTCCGTAAGTTAGGAAACGAAAAAAAAATTAGACACGTATTTTTTTATTTTGTCGTACCTATAATAAAACAATACCTAGATAAAACGAATCAAAGTTTAGGAGTGGGGGCTAAAACGTCATTTCTACATATAAAATATACTTAGAAGTGACGTCACGCGACATTTCAAATCAATATATCGTGGAAAGTATTCGTTTCTGTAAGAAAATAAAAAAAACGTGTCTAATGATTTCAAACAATCTACCAGACGGACATTGAAACAAAAATTTGTCATCTATATTGGGCCTCCGGTAACCTCCCTCACAAGACTAAACACTACGCAAGCGTTGTTTCACGTCGGTTTTCTGTGAGGCCGTAGTATCATTCCAGTCGAGCCGGGCCATTCATGTCGGAGCATGGCTCTCCCACACTTATGTATCTCTAATATAATTATATATAATAAAAATACGTCTAATAGATTGAACTGGTTTATGTCAAGTTCCTATTACTTCTTTTTCCTATAACAATTAATTTAAGGTTGAAAAACGCATTTAGCACTAAGAAAATAAAGTCGACATTAAGATAACTGAACTAGTGTCGTTTTCTAATGTAGCGCTGGACTTTAATCCTTTATTATCCGCTTATTAAATGTCTGACTCGTGTTATTACATAAGTATACGTATATAACATTAACTTTGTACATACGACCTCGCTCGCATGGAATACAAAAGATTTATCTTTGGTATGTCCTGATCCTGTGTATCAATTTCTAATAATCCTATTATGTTACTCCTTAAAAAGTGCCCTTTTCAATAGTGAAAATATTTCTTAAATCGGTCCTGTAGTCGCAGAGAACCTAACGGGTAACCGGGGCTCTGGCTCGACGTGCAGGAGAAGGAACGGGGTGGTTTTTAGTCAGTAAGAGTGACACTTCCTCCCGCCTCACCCAGGCGGGAGCAGTCATTCGATGATTTTCCCCCCTTAAAAAAAATCGGTCCTGTAGTTTCTATAAGCGTAGTCAAAACATACAAACAAATGAAATTGTTCCTTTACAATATCAGTATAGATATAGTATAGAAGTTGGTATGCAATATACATTCTTGTGTACACGTCATAGATTTACTTCCTTGACATTTGAACTTAATATTGTGTTGTCTCTGTTTCAAAATACATCTATGAAGGTTTAGCATAATACAACATCACGCCTTTTATCCCCGAAAGGGTAGGCAGAGGTGCACATTATGCCACTGTACAATGTAACGCCCACTTTTCACTATTCATGTTATGAGTCCCAAGTAATAGGGGGAGCTTATTGCCATATACCGGGCACAATTACATACTTCGTATAGTATAGAGATTTTTTAAAACCCAGTAATACTTTGTCCGACTCGGGAATCGAACCTGAAATCGATTTTGACTTTGACAGAAGTTTAAGCACACTTATTGATAACGAGTAATGTCGTTCAAGCCTGACAGATTTTTACCGCTTATTTATTAACAGTTTAAATACAGTAGGAAATAGAAATCAAATATTGAATTATGTTGATAAAGATATCATAATAACATCCTGTGTTCCTCGTATTAGTAGATAAAGTTTATAGAAACCAACTAAAGTTGCGTTGTTATACAAAACATGAATATCACACAATATAAGTATCTATTGTTTGTTGTTTGTTCCACCTATGTACCTATCTGTTTACATACTTGCAACGAGTAATGTAAATTAACTGAGAATGTAATAAAATTATAGAAAATTTAAGAAAAAGAAAAATTAAGTACACTGAACGTTACTATCGCATAACATAAATAGTGAAAAGTGGGTGTTACATTGTACAGTGGCATTAAGTGCCGTAATGTGCACCTCTGCTTACCCTTTCAGGGATAAAAGGCGTGGTGTTATGTTAGCTATGTGATGTTATGTTAAGATTTTTTCCTGTGTCGTAATTTCGTTTGCAAACACACAGTTTTACATATTTAAGCTGCATGTTTGATATTTCTATCAGTGCAGCTTATTATCTGAGGACTGTATATTTTGTTTCATTAAAATTGTGTTATAGTATGAGCGTCGTGTTTTATTACGGATTTTTCTCAGAGACAGAAAAACAAACCAGATTTATTCATATGACAATTTTTTTTTATCTAGGATAAACAAACAAATACCTTTATTTCCATTTTGTTCATATGCATATTCATAGTTACCTTTGCTTTCTGTGAATCAAGGTTTCCGGAATAAGCTGTTTCTATAGACGATGTTTATGTGAAAAATGCTATCTATGAACAGAATTATCTATCAACAGTGCTTTCTATGGAACGAGATATCTACGAATAGTATTTTCTACCAACAAAGGTTTCGGCAAAACGAGCTGTCTAGGAATAAAGATTTCTATGGCAAGTGCTTTCTATGGAACGAGATATCTACGAACAATATTTTCTAACAATAAAGTTTTCGGTGAAACGTGCTTTCTGAGAATAGACATTTCTATGAGCCATGCTTTCTGCATCCAGTAGTGTCGTACAATCGTGATTCTATATTACGTTCCACACTCATCTCCCAGACTCGAAACAACAATTATTATAGATCATATGTAAATTATTCCGTGTGGGAGTCGTACCTACCTTCAACACGTTAATAAGAAAACTGCAAATCATATTTTATGATTAAATATAATGAACTCTCTTCCTTTCCTCTACTAAATTCTTATTTCTTCTTCTCCAGGTGAACCGCTGGTAGTCCAAATGGATTCGGAGAAGCAGGATAATGTGGAAGTGGCACTGTTGGGTGGCGAGGGCTCGCCCAGACGGTATGCGACGTCAGAACTCACCCAGTTCTGGGTGGTACTTAAACGAACGCTGCTGTTCAGCAGACGAGATTGGGTGAGTATTTGAAAGATGTATTCGAGGGTAGAAAGACTAATTGATCTAAGAAACGATTTTTTTTATATTTAATGGGCCACTATCTTGCCTGCTGGTAAGCGACGATGCGGTCTACGATGGACCAAGTCGACCTATAAGCAACCTATTTACTTGGGCCTTGAAGACACAGACTCTGGCAAAGAATTCCACTCATTAGCAGTACGCATCCTTGTGCATACCTACTGCTAAGGAATGGGACATCTACCATGAATCGGTGACGTTTCGCCGATCGTACATGTTCGAAATCAGCGAATTTACCTTCGTCGTAATGTAGGAAATGTCGTGGAAATGAATATTACATAAAATTAGATTAATTAGCGTTCCAACTGTCGTATTAGATTTTATTTACTTTGACTCTAGAGTGAAAAATAAGCAGCCCTTGACAGGGTACTGTAAGATTATCACTAACTAAAAACCACCTTGATGACCCGCCTCACACATGGGAACGAAATTATGATAAACCAAACTAAAGTCCAAAGCGAGCCAAACCAAAGATCTTTTTATTTTTCAAAATAATTTTATTGTTCTTCATATTTTTATCAAAACATATAATTGCAAACTACCGTTTGCAATGTATGCATCATTTTTATATTACAAAATTATAATTTTTCTCCAACCAAAGTATTAAACTAAAAACTTATATATATACTATACATAGGTACACGGTAATCTAACATATATACAGACTTTAAACCCTAGTCAAATAACAACAATATAGATTACGTTTATTCATGACATACATGTACACACTGGTGACGTTTTAAAATGAACATTCTTCAGTTCACTTAGAGTTCAAACTCTAAAGTAGGTTTGTATTGTCCAGTTACGATTCATTGTTATGATATGCAGCAAGTTATGATAATACATTTTCATGTATCAGAGATGACAAAGTATTAGGTACAAAGGTTATAACGTCTGGTTATATTTGAACTATTTATTTGTTAAATTAAAGCTTGTTTGAAGGTCAAATTACATGTATTATGAACATAATATGATAAGGCCAGCTGTTGCCCGCGACTTCGTTCGCGTGGAATTGTGATTCACAACTCCTCCCCCATAGATGATAATATATAGCCTATACGTTGACCCCACCTGTTAGTAATATTTATGCAAAATTTGAAGTAAATCGATGCAATACTTTTTGAGATCATCCCGGACATACATACAGACATACAGACAAAAAAACATATTTTTGGCTTCGGTATCGATTGCAGATCACGCCTCAAGTATTCTTTAAAAAAAAATATTCAATCTACAGTTTTGACTTTTCTACGATTTTATCATATGTATAGATTAACACATTCAAATAAATACAAATACTTCACTAGTAGTGGATCTGAGTGACATTTTTTGTATTAAGTGCCATCTACCGCTCCATTTTTAATCTAAACTGTGATATGTAATGATACAGTCCAGCCGTTTAGGAGTTCTGTAACATACATCATCATCATCATCAACAGCCTATAAATGCCCACTGCTGAGCAAAGCCTCTTCTCACACGGAGAAGGTTAGAGCATTAATCACCACGTAACATACAATACATTATAAATGTATAATACAAGAGTCACTTACTACTAGTCCTTACTACTAGTAGCATACTTAATTTTTTTTTTTGGAAATTAGTCCTACTACTTATTGTCTTTAAGGTTATTTTATTTTCGATCTCTTTGACTGGATTTCGGTTTTATATTATTCTCAAAAAATCGAACCAATGAAACTGTGTAACTGGAGAATTGTATTGTGAAACTGATTGGAAAAGAGTAACCTATGGAGTTTCTTGCTCGTTCTTCTCCATAGGAATGTACATCTTGGAATTAGCAAATAGCTTCACTTTTAAATTTTTATTGTTGAATGTCATTTATTTATTTCTCAGTACATGGTGCACACAGATCTTAAAATTAACAAAGTTCCACACATACTACCGTTACCGGTGTAGAAATATAAAATTGTATTAAAAGTATTAATTTCTAATTAAATGATTGTCATTTCTGGTCTAATTGAAATAAATGATTTTGACTTTGACTTTGACACTCCAAAAGCAAATTCATTCTCGTCCGTCTTCAAATAATTGACTATTCTCTTAGTTTAAGTATTTATTTATTATTTAATGAAAACAATGCACATCCTTTGTTTTATTTTAATGTCCCAATACATACATACAATTGTGTAAATATTTATTTGTAATTTGCATATGTCTAGACCCGTTAGTATTTTTTGTTATAAGCATGAGCACTTCAAAAATAACATGTCAGGTTTGAAAAAATAAATTCTTAGGGCAACGACCGACCGATTCGTTTTAAAATGGCCGACATAACGGGTGTTCACATAATATTTTTGATTTTAAGACACAAATATATTGTTTCTACTTTGTTTCTGAATTAACGGGAAAGTACGTTGGTATTTTAAGTAGGTAAATCTATCAAAAATGGTAAAAATCGTTAGCTACAGTTATAAAAGTGAAAGAAACAGCCTTCATCTTTTTCTATTTAGTTTTTTATTTATTATTGTTGTTTTAATACGATTTTACAGCAATTACATGCCAGCGTTGCCGTATTGACTATCGGTACATTGAGGTTTTAAAGTGCTTGTACACAAACGCCACTATGTCGGTCCGAGTACAGGACCGGAACACGAGGGATATTCCTCTGCAGCGAGGTGTAAGGCAAGGAGACGTCATATCTCCAAAACTGTTTACCGCTGCATTGGAAGACGCCTTCAAACTTTTGGAATGGAAAGGATCTGGCATTAACATCAACGGCGAGTACATCACACACCTCCGGTTTGCCGACGACATTGTGGTCATGGCAGAATCGCTGGAGGATCTAAGCACAATGCTCGATGACCTCTGTAGAGTTTCTCAACAGGTAGGGCTCCAAATGAACATGGGCAAGACGAAAGTCATGTCGAACGCCCATGTTACGCCCTACCCGATATCAGTTGGGAGCTCTACCCTCGAAATTGTTGACGAATATATATACCTAGGACAAGTGATCCAGCTAGGTAGGTCCAATTTCGAGAAAGTGGTCAATCGTCGAAACCAACTTGGATGGGCAGCGTTCGGGAAACTGCGCAACATCTTCTCGTCCAACATACCTCAGTGCCTCAAGACGAAAGTCTATAATCAGTGTGTGTTACCAGTGATGATCTATGGAACAGAAACGTGGTCTCTCACTGTGGGCCTTATAAAGAAGTTCAAGGTCGCTCAGCGCGCTATGGAAAGGGCTATGCTCGGAGTTTCTTTGCGAGATCGGTTAAAAAACGAGGAAATCCGCAAACGAACAAAGGTCGCCGACATAGCCCAGCGGATTAGCAAGTTGAAGTGGCAGTGGGCAGGGCACATAGCGCGGAGAACCGACGGCCGCTGGGGCAGAAAGGTTCTCGAGTGGAGGCCACGTACCGGCAAGCGCAGCGTAGGACGTCCATCCGCAAGGTGGACAGACGACCTCATTAAGGTCGCAGGGAACCGCTGGATGCAGGTCGCTTCCAACCGGGCTATCTGGAAGTCATTGGGGGAGGCCTATATTCAGCAGTGGACGTCCTGTGGCTGATATGATGATGATGAAACAAATAAAAAAAGTTACAATAGTAGAAAACAAACAAAAATGTACATCACAAGCCTTGTGTTACCTTATGGGCTAGTCCTTTGTCTAACACACATATAAATATATACACACACCACCACACTTATAAAAAAATAGTATATGTATATAGATGTAGGAAAAAAATAGATTCAATCAATACAGAAACAGTAGAACTATAACTAATCACTTGGTAGATTTAGCAATTCTAGTATTCTCAAACTATGTTTTTATTTAATTTTCGACTCAATTATCAAACATAAAAAGTTTAAAATGGTTTGAAGGGCTGGGCACCTTCTGTACTGTAAAGAACACATCTGTTTACCCCTTTTTGGGACAAATTATAGTTTACACTTCAACTCAGTGACCCTTTGCCTTCAATACAGAGACAAGATAAACGTATCGAATGTCACTATAAATGTGTTAATTACTTTATTTAGGTTATATTTGTTCTAAAACTCGGTCAAATCAAGGTCAAGAATATAGTCTATAGTCGTCAATTTCTTGTGAAACTTTCGTTTATAATACTTATCTGTTATTTTTAATGGCGTTGTGCTATTAAAAGTGTTAAAATTCGCGAATAATTGTGAAAATGTATAAAGAATATGGTTGCTTTCTATGTAATGAGTCATCAAACAATTTTAGATCAAGATAGCAACGTAATATCTTAATTCATGATTAAATAAATATATACAACTTAAAATATAAATAACTAAAATATTGATACCTTAAACAAAATGTTATCTTAAGACATCAAAAACAATTTTTCCTCATCGCTACCGTGAGGTAGGGTGCCTAAAAGACTGGCAGCATTGCCACGTTGAATGGCAATTGTACCTTTGCCCAAGGTAGTAGCCAGCCCTTCGAATTAAATGATTATAATAAACATTGTATGTTTGATATAATGAATAAATAAAAATTAAGTTGGTCATAAAATCAACTAATGAAAGTGTGATTATTTTTGAATATTTTATTGTACCGAACAGTTGAAATAATTTATTTTTGATTAAGGAACCCAATTTGGATAATTCTTGTCATCCATTTATTATTAGGGCTAAGTTTTTTATGAAATGAAAATGGGACACATTCACGTTCGGGTACAAAAAGAAATAATACCCGGGCGAACTTGAATCAGGCCGTTTTTAATGTCAATGTGTAGCTACATTTTATAAACATAATTTACTAATGTACACCCTCCCCCACAGACTCTGATGTACCTCCGTTTGTTCGCGCATATCCTGGTCGGCTTCTTGATTGGTGCACTGTACTATGACATCGGTGACGACGGCTCCAAAGTACTCTCAAATCTTGGTTTCCTGTTCTTCAATATGCTGTTCCTCATGTATACTTCTATGACCATCACTATTCTTAGTTGTGAGTATTTGAATCTGATTTTTATTACTTTTTTACTTAGGTTTAGGTTAGGAATGGTGTGATATAAAAGAGGGCTTTTTTTAAGGGGGGGAAATCATAGAATGACTTCTCCCGCCTGGGTGAGGCGAGAGGGAGTGTCAGACTAAAAACTTACTGACTAAAAACCACCCCGTTCCTACTCCTGCACTTCGAGCCGGAGCTCTGGTAACCCGTTAAGTTCTCCGCGGCTCCGAATAAAAGAGGGCTATCATGGTTTTGTGTATGGTTGTTTGACTCCCATCCAATAATAAATTAAATAAAAATAACCAGACAAACACATTTTACTTTGATTACAAAACAAGTTAGTTTATGATATCTCATAAAGCAATAAGGTTCACAAAAGCTGAATTAATTCCTACCAAATCGTACTCAAGGACCAAATTACAAAATGGCATTGAAATATGAACTTTAATGCCCTCAAAACGTTAAAAAAATTAATTCATCCTATTTTGAACTTTCAGTTACAAACAATAAAGTTGCAATTACATTTTGTACTATTGATACTGATTTAGTTCAATTTATTTATACAATTTAATGACTTGTTTCCAGTTCCCCTTGAGATGCCTGTGCTGGTGAAAGAACACTTCAATCGATGGTACTCGCTACGGTCTTACTATCTCGCTATCACTGTATCGGATATACCGTTCCAGGTAAAACATGTTTTACTTTACCTTCATGCTGATATAGTCTTTAAGATTATAGGGTGTAAGTATAAAATATAATTATTGTAACTTACGACCTTTGTTCCATAAGAGCTTACTCCTGTAGGTAATGTTCTTACATAAAATTTAATATTATTGTCAGTCATGTTACGAGTTTCATGCTCTTTAGAATCCAGTCTCCATACTACTGCCAAGAACTGCCTTTTTTCGACCTGGGAATCAAATCCAAAATCCCCTAGTTCGGTAGTCACATTCCCGATCATTTGAACAACAAGATAGTCGTTGTACTGTGTAATTGTATCATAGGTCTCCTCCACAAATGACTTCTAATCACTTGATATGAATTTGTTCATACAAAAGTAGTCTTTAAACGTCGGAAATAAGGTCTATAATGGAGTTTATGGAGAGCGGTCACCGGTGATCCTAAGCGGATTGATTAGCCAAATCGGTCAATAGTTTAATTTGTACCCGACCACAGGAAGCTTTTCGCGCGTATCTTGAATGTATGACATATTCTTTATTACCTACTTTTTCTTTTTTGTATATTGACATCTAACATACTAATTTTAAATGTTTTTTCCGTTTCAGGCAATATTCTGTGTGATCTACGTGGTGATAGTATACTTGCTGACGTCACAGCCACCGGTTTGGTTCCGATTCGCGATGTTCCTGTCATCCTGTCTGCTCATCTCATTCGTGGCGCAGAGTGTAGGACTTGTAGTCGGGGCTGCTATGAATGTTCAGGTACATACTTTTATTATAAGTTTCGTAAGACAAATTAATTTAATTATTATGTACTACGGCTTAATCACGTAACTATTTGATGCGACGCGGTGAGCGTTAGTTAGCGATTAGTCGCAATATTTCATAATTATAAGCCCCTAGTTTGACTTGTAAATAGTCGAGTTACTTTATTAAACAGTTACGTAAGTAAGCCGTATAAGTTTAAATGAAGCTATTTTATATTATATCCATATTCCACATTCAATCTTCTTGTTACCTTATCCCAAGTTACTTAAGGTCCATTTTCCTCTATCAGACGTCATTCTTCACTTGGAGAATTTTATATAATTAAGATATTTTTGTTACACAATGCATTCATATTAGCATTGAATGTGCAAAACCGTAATTTGAATTTCATATGTCCTATATACCTATTTATTTTGAATAAATGAGGACAATGAAATTCTTTATTGTACCTTTTTCCAAAATGGCCTTCATAACCCGAGCATTGACGTGTTTTGTGCACTTAAATATTAATCTGAAATAATTACCTGCTTTTGTAAGGTTGTTGCAATGTCAGTAGTCAATACACTGTAATATTTTTAGTTCTTTTTTTTTGTATTTGAGTTTGTATCTACGTACGTATAGTATAGAGTCGAGTTTGAATTAAAATTATGATGTGAAGATTTAGTTTCCTTTGATTCAGAAATCGATGATTCGTTTTTCTAAAACATAAGTAATTATTTTGTTATCCCATAATTATCTCCTTTTACGATATCATTAGGTTACGTTATTTAGTCTTAGAGAGTAGAATTGAAATTATGTAGCAGTACTAGAAAAAATTTACCATTTTTTAAGAGTTAAAAGCTAAGCTGAATAACTATATAACACATTTCTATCTATTATAAGGCCCATATAAAAAAGAAGAACGAAAAAAGACAATAAAATTGACCCTTGACCAAAAAATTGACCACATTCTTCACCTTTTATCCCTGAAGGGGTAAGCAGAGGTGCACATTACGGCACTTTATGTCACTGTACAATGTAAGTGTAACACCCACTTTTCACTGTTTGTTATGAGTCCCATGTAATAGGGGGTGAGCCTATTGCCACATACCGCCTACTTGGCACATTTCGAGAACTCGTGCTACTAGGTACTAAACGTTTTTTTGAAAAACCCAGTTATACTTTGCCCGACCCGGGAATCGAACCCGAGACCAGTATTAATATAAAAAAACATTTTTACAGAACGGCGTGTTCCTGGCTCCAGTAATGTCAGTACCGTTCCTACTGTTCAGTGGATTCTTTGTGTCATTCAACGCTATCCCGGTGTACCTGCGGTGGATCACGTACCTGTCTTACATCAGATACGGGTTCGAGGGCACTGCTCTCGCCACGTACTCCTTCGATAGACCCAAGCTTAAATGCCATCAGGTGAGAAATATATTTATTATTAAACTAGATAATAGAAATGATGACAGTGTATGAAAATTAAACATCTAATTAGTCCGTAAGTTAGGTAATGAAAAATATTGATCGTCAAAATTTTTTTCTTTTGTCTTATAAGAAAACAATACTTAGATAAAACGAATCGAAGTTTAGGAGTTCTAACTACGTCATTTTTGAGTATAAAACGTACCTAAAAGTGACGTCACGCGGTATTTTAAATCAATATATCATTGGAAGTATTTGTTTCCGCAAGAAAATACTACCTAAAATACTACCGAGTTATATTCAAATAAAAATCTTATTCTAATATTAATAAACAGGCCAAATTAAAAGTACCCTTAAGCAACGAGCATGCATGAAAAGATTGATGACTGTTGATGAAGCGAAAGGGTAGATGCCTAATTTTTATTTTAATGTCCGTCTGGTAGATTATTTTAAATCATTAGACACGTATTTCTTATTTTCTTACAGAAATGAATACTTTCGACGATATATTGATTTGAAATGTCGCGTGACGTCACTTCTATGTACATTTTATACGTTGAAATAAGGATCTAGCCCCACTCCTAAACTTTTATTCGTTTTATCTAAGTATTGTTTTATGATACGACAAAATAAAAAAATACGTGTCTAATATTTTTTCATTATCTAACTTACGGACTAATCATATTTTTTATTTTCATACCCTGTCTTCATCCCAATTGGCGTTATATAGTCTCTGCCTACCCCCATGGGAGATAGGCGTGAAGTTATGTATGTATCTAATTCTTCCGTTCTTTTCCAGACTTACTGTCACTTCAAGAACCCTGAAACCACTTTGGAAGAGCTGGACATGTTGAACGCAGACTTCACGCTGGACATCGCAGCTCTCTGTCTCATATTCCTCGTCCTACGTATATCTGCGTTCCTCTTCCTCCGCTGGAAACTCAAATCTACCAGATAAGCGATATTAAACCTACGTTACATGTATTTAGGGTAGCAAACCAAACGACAAGTTATTTTAAGTTAGGGTTGTCACTTTGTCATCACTTATGTGATATCGACCTACTAATGGTGCCGAATGTTGAGTTTATAATGCAATTTTAAAAGCGATAGCTGTTTATTTATATCGAATTCATGCCAAAGGGGTTCCTATAGAAGGAATTGGAATAACAGAAACTAATATTTCTTTTAAATATTGTTATTATAACAGCTCTGGGTGTTTATGTGGTTGCTAACAGATTTTATAATTATGAGACAAAGTAACAATAGTTAGTTAGTTATGTTTACGCAGTTATTGTGATAAAGATGTTATATATACTGTAGAACAACGGGACTGTGCTTTTCGAATATTTTATGAATGACAAAGTACAGGATCCCACAAATCAGATATTAAGAAGTCTAACATGAAAATAACGTCCTGTCCATATGTCCATTTTCATTGCAAAACATACATTAACTAGTTATAACTATCGTAAAATGATTGTAACAAGAAAGGTACGATTACTGGGGTCATTAAACTTTTGACAGATAAATGAAAAATAAAACTGACTTTGAGCCATTATGGTGAATTTAGAGCTGACCCCAAACAAGGACGTTGAAAAATACAAAGTCTCTTTAATAAACGACTGTGGCGTCTAGCTAATAAAGATTTAAAACATTGACACGAAAGACATCTGTCATTTTCTTATGCACATATACAAAACCACTGACTTTTTGTGCTTCAATCATTTCTAAGTGACATTATGCCTGCCTCTTTTTCAACGTCCTTGATCCCAAATTGAAAATACTATAGGATTAGTAATTTTTGATATTGTATTATAATGCATGACAATTTTTTTCACAAGTGTCTTTAATGCTCAAATCATGGCCTTATTATATCTATCAAATTTCAAAAATTATTCATTAATTTTGAACAGAATGTAATGAAATGTGATAGCTTCGTGTGATATAATGAAAAGTTCACAAAAATAGAAATTATAACAGTTTTTAAATACAATTATTAATTTTATAAAATAAAGTTTAATTCTACACACTATGGGCCTTTACATTTTTTATGCCACAGACTATCCAAACCATAGATAATAATCAGAGATTTTATAACAGATAATATAAATAGTAAGATCTGAAACCATCAGAAGCCGTGCCTATGTAGCATCGTTAGAAATTATAAAAAAGTAAATAAATAAATTATAATTATAATGAATTCATTAATTATTTTGCTCATAAATTATTCATATTTCTTGCCTTACCGGCTTGCCGTTAATTTTATGTCAAAGATATACGTAGTTCATTCGAATAGTAACGGTAATTTAAATTATTTTTTAATCTATAAATAAAGACTGCTGTTCAATTCAGAGTTTTCATTCTGATTAACAATATATCTTGTCAATTTTTTCGTACAATTATTGGAGATTTTTTCGTATGTTGTTCAAAGCTTTTTTAAATTACCGTTGCTATTAAATTAAATAATAATTATTACGCATTCAGGGATCATGGTATATTTCATTGTACTTAGTGTTGTAATTATTTAGATAAAATATTGTGGTCCAATTAATTATTATTGATAATGGTTAGTTGTAATGGTTTATAGAAAGTATGATGTTTTGTACCTATTATATATATTTTTTAAAATAAATGGTTTATGAAATGTATTTTTGTTTTACTTCAGATTACATACGTTCTCAATGACATACTCCTTCGATATACTTAAATTAATGGCTGACTCGTTGGTGGACGTGTCGGGGTGCGGGGTCATGTCAGTAAGGGGTGTCGGGTTTGATTCACGGATCGATCAAATTTCATATATCAGTTATATAAAATACAATTCTAGAATTTCTAGACTGCCTTGTTAGCCGAGTCGCAAGTGTGACTGCCGGGATGGGCCTATTGCATTGCCATATACCGGCACAATTCCAGACTCCGTGCTACTACTGAAATTTTTTGAAAAACCCAGTAATACTTTGGCCGACCCAGGAATCGAAACCGAAACGTCGGCAACGAGGCAGTCTGCAACGCTGAAACTACTGAACGGATTTTGATGATATTTAGTATACAGACAGTCCATAGTCTTAAGGGCTTACTACTTAGGTGATAGGATACTTTTTATCCCGATTAAATGCTCCCATGGGATAAAACAGAAACACGTGGTCAAAGCCGTAGGTAAAAACTAGTGAAAGAAATATGTTTGCTAGCAAACGATTTAATACGCAAGCAGAATGGAAAAACAACTTAATTCAAGTTCAGAATCAGAACATAAATTTAGTTTAGAACAAAGACGTAAGAAAAATAATTATACAGAAATTACCTATCTACTTCTAATGTGGCAATAATTCTTCGGTTGAATGCTTACAACGATGGTAACTTTCCGGATGAACACCGCCGTAACTGATTGTATGCATATTGAATGTAAGTACCAGAGTGATGAAAAATGGGTGTTACGCCTTTTTATCCTCGAAGGGGTAGGCAGAGGTGCACATTACGGCGCTTAATGCTACTGTACAATGGTTACATTGTGAAAAGTGGAAAGTGAAAAGTGGGTGTTAACCCACTTTTCACTTTTTATGTTATGAGTCCCATGTAATAGAGGGTGAGACTATTGCCACATACCGGGCACAATTCCAGACTCCGTGTTACAACTGAGATTTTTAAAAACCCAGTAATACTTTGCCCGACCTGAGAATCGAACCTGAGACCCCTTGCCCGGCAGTCGCACTTGCGACCACTCGGCCAATGAGGCAGTCGTAAATAAATAATTATGAAAAAAGCTATAATTTTAAGTTCCTCGGTTTATTTAGGGTATAAAAGGCCCGGAGTCTTATTGTCTTACACATACAAAATTAATATTATACATAATATTAATAACCCCGCTACTAAAAATGAAGATTAAAAAAAAATTAAGAATGTACTAAAATCAGAAATATTGGTTATATTCCCAAGACCGTTATATTCAGCTGACTTAGGTACTTGCGACCACTCGACCAAATAGGCATTCATATTTTAAACTTTATGAAACCCAACAGTGGTCAACAGCAGTGTCAACCTACTACTTAGATTTGCAACTTTAATACTGTGGTGTTAAGTCGAAATTCTAATAAAAATACATATTGTAGTAGCATGACCCATTTTTTTTTAAGGGGTAAAATCATCGAATGACTGCTCCCGCCTGGGTGAGGCGGGAGGGAGTGTCAGACTCTTACTGACTAAAAACCACCCCGTTCCTTCTCCTGAACGTCGAGCCGGAGCCCCGGTTACCCGTTAGGTTCTCTGCGATGACCTATAGGCCGCTGCTGTACTTCAAAGTCCAGTGACAGATTAATGACAGTCAGGTGTAGGTATACTAAGTAAACAGATGTATCAATGTGTACCAATGGATAATTTATTTAAATTACTAGGAAAAACATTGTTGCCATGTTTTTAATAAAGCGAATTAACTGTAGAACCGGGTGAAAAGGTCGAATACTGGTTGTCAATAGGTATAGTAAACGGTGAAGTGACAAATTGTTGGCATAAATAATATTAAAAAAGTTGGTTAACGGTTGTACCTATATGTACCTCTAGTTAATTTTAGGAGGCATGACTTGGAAGCTTACTTATGTACAATAAGATACGACGAATAAGATACGATTTACGATAAGAATTACTAATATTACTATTAAATCTTTACAAATTTGTATTTCTTATAATGTCAGCTTTATACTGGTATTTTTTAATTTGCTATAACAGTTGTAGATTGGTAGAAAATAGGCTTTAAGTCGGAGACGTACACGGCGCGTAAGCGCGCGCGCCGCGCGTACGTTAGAGACGTGTGCGCTGACGCGACGCGGGCGTTAAAGTGGTTATATTCTATAGTATGTGGATCATTCTTTATTCCTTGACAGAAACTTCATACCTACTTAAATATGTTTTCTGGGAGTTATGAAAATAAGCAATTTTGTAGATTTTGTTGTGCTCTTTTCGATTCCCATTTTGCACCTTGGTATGTGCGCCGCTCGCGCCGCCATCTTGGATAAATGGCGGCCAAAAACAGTTTTTCACAATATTTCTACCGTTCAAAATCGTTAGCTACAAAATTAAACTACTCACAATTATCTACAATTTATGTCTAGTTACCTTTTTTGTAGTATAAGTAGTTTTGGCGCGGGAGCACCGCAAGTACATTTTTATGAGATATAGGGAAAAAAATACCACAGCACGTGAAAGTAGAGAAAGCGGCCCATAGTGTAGTCTTTTATAGGTCTAATGCTCATGTGGTTGTGGTATTCTTTGCCAGTCCACCGCTTACCAACAGGCGAGATAGTGGCCAAAAGTTAGCCCATCTAATATAAAAAAAGAAAACATCAGTTGACAGCCCTTGTTGCTTACCGTTCATTATAGGTACCTACTTGTTATTTATTATAGGTTAAAGCGTAGGTCGTAACGTAATTCTATTATTTACAATGTGTACTTGGCACCTACTGACTTGTGATTAATTTATTTTTGTATGCACACGTGTTTCTATTCATCGAGTTCAATACCTATCTATTAAACGAAGTCGTCAACTTCATCTAAGGAAGATAGGTATCTTCTATTAGAAGATCCTCGGTCTTATAGTGTACTTCGTTTATTTTTAACAGAGGTTCGCATAGTTACCAATTCCAAAAAAAGGTAGTTTACGTGTCTGTTATGAACCTCACGTTTCAATACGGTTTCCTAACACAGCCAGTATATCATACTATAAAGGAATAAGAATATATCATTTTGTGTAATAAACATTTATTTATTTGTGGGAAGTGAGCGGTTTGTGAAACTAGAACAACCTTCAGAGGCTTATGCATTAAGTGGGTATTGCTTAAAATTAAAAAAATATACAATAATAGTGTTCGCCATGGTGACTAAAGATGCTTGAGAAGTATACCACCTTCAAAAGATATACTATTATGTAACCAAGAAGGCGTTTGATTGGTCTATTAGTTTACCGGACCTAAACCCCGGACCGGACCGGACCGAATATAAAATACCGGACCGAATAAAGAGCTAAAACTCCACTTTCGGGAAAACTAGACTTCTAAAATGAATTTGTGATCACATAAGCAAATAATTGGGTTTGATTTATTCAATAAAAATACATGATGTAAGTACATACATAGTTTAACAGACTAATTTATTTAAATTAAGAAACAAACAATACACACAATGCTTAAGTTATAAGTAGGTACCGCATAATTAAAGGCTAAGTTTTGAGTTACACACACGACAAGACTCAATGCAGATATCCACTTAAACATACATAAATAGTAACTTATAGCGATATAAATTCATCAATGGAGTAATACTTAATATTTCGACAAAAGCTCTATAGCAAATGTAAAAATAGAGATAGTACACCCAAATACATAAATTATCCATGGAACAGCAAACCGAGGTTGGAATTGTTCCTGACGGAAAGTATGCTTTATTTTCTTAAGATAGTTCAAGTCACGCATCACTTTATCTACCAAGCCATTCTCCCTTAGCTGGAGGCATTTCTCACACAGATCACGAATCAATGGGAACCCCTTATACATGTAAAAGGTGTATATCACTTTGGAGTACGGTTTGGATAGTAGAACAATGCGAGGTTCACCATACTCATCAAAATAATCCTCTTCATAATACTGATAGATAGCGTAAAGAAGAAGTGTGAATAGATTCTCAGACCTTGCTACCGATTCAACACTCTCCATTAACCCATAGCAACCACTATCCACGTCATAGTCTTTATCCGATTGAACAGATTCTACATAATATCTACTCATTATTAAACTCAGACAAGGTTTTAGCTTATATCGGAAAATATCTTCTTCCTCTGAAATTTGGTATTGCTGAGCTGGATTTGTTGTCAAACTGACGAGATTTGATTGATAGAATACGTTCACTAGGTATGTAAATACGATCCATGACAAAAGCACCATTTTCACCATCCATCGACTTCGTATGTTGCGGCCATGGAGCAGCAGGATGTCCACCAGGATCAACACGATGTAACTTTTATCAGCGGCGCGAAGTAGTTTTATTAAAATGATCGAATACAGTACCAGTGTTAGTAGTAGTAGCACCCACACGGTTGTACTGAATTCCAGATATATGTTCTTCCACGCTGGCTCGTCTGTCGCTCGTCTCACCACAAACCGTATCTCTTCTGTGTAAACTTGGTGTCCATAAACGTAGTAGAACGCTGCTGCTCGAGACGGTACCAGTAGCATACCTCCAACAATAATATCTATTTCATTATCCTGGATTCTTTTCAACGAACCAGTAGCCTCCATGTCTTTAGAGACTATGGGGAATTCATCTGTTATGTTCCTATTACCTACTATCTCTAAGTTAAAGCCTAACATTTCTCCTATCAAGCTGAGTAAGTATGGTTCGGCGCCGTGTTGGTGCAGAAAAGGGTCGGTTGAATTGACCGCAGGGACCATAGTATACGGAGGCCATTGAGTTGTCCATACTTTAAATGTACAATTTCTCAGACCTGTGATAAATTTACTTGGGTATAAGTCAACCGAATCTGCTTCTGAACACTTCCCGTAGCTGATGACATCATCATAGCGTTTACCACAATTGAAATTATCGAAGGGATTGTAGGTGTAAAGGTCGGCATCGTCTGTGGAATTCATGACCAATACATTATTCACATGCAACTTCAAATTAATATCAAATATGATTTTGAGTTTTCGTAAGTTAGTTCTCTGACAATGAATAAAAATCGAGCATTTGGATTCCATGTTGCTTCTTTAATAATTTCGCTGAAATGTTCAACGAAATGAGTGAAATTCTTTGCACAGATCAGATATCCTTGGTGAGAGACGGCAATCTTGTTGTTCGCTCGCTTGGATACCATGGCTACCAGGTTTAAATCATGAATAGCTTGCAGAAGTTCTTTATCTTGAGCCTTATTTCCGATATATGTTATAAATTTTGTTTCTGCAAAATATTTTGTAATTATATCTAAAGAACATTTTAATAGTTTATCGCTATAAATTCTTTGTGGGACTTGTATTTTTAGACAATTTACGGTGTGTAATAACACAACCAAGTATAGGGCCCGCATTTTGGAATCTGATGGAGTTTCAATATACTTGTGAAGATTGATATCAGCAAGTCACGATAGGCAACAGTTTATTTCATGGAACATAGAATCACGATATCTGTATCGTGTTATAAATATGTCAGTAATTATACCGTATAACCGTATATGTACACGAAGTCAGTAATTTGGGTTCATTATCATACCTGAGATGTGATATCTACATCATTATTTTGTTGGTAATTGAAATGTTCTGCTTTATGACAAATTTGTCAGGGTGAGTTGTGTTATTTCATTTGTTGCAGTCAAACCCCATGTAGCTAACATGGGGTATTGGTTGAAAGGTTGCCAACATTCGTGTGGATAGCTGTTACTCACGGTTTCCTAGCCGATGTAATAGAGAATAGAGGTAAGAACAGTCATATACAGTACACTATTTATAATTTTTGTAACTATAGTTTTAAACTAAAGTTTTTGACTGAAAATGGTTGGGTACATTTTTGTATTTAGCACGGCCCTCGGCTCCTTTATAAAGGCCCTCGTTTACAATAACAATCAAGAGCTGACAGAGCCAAATAAACCTTTACAGTCTCATCTTAAACTTACAAATTCTAATTCTTTCTTTAATAAACTTACCTCACACTTAACCGATGTCGTTTCTTATAATGCACATGTAAATGTTCAAGCAAAAACGTAATGCCAGCAGTAACACAACCGGCAATATACACGGTCCAAGGCAGACAAAAGCGAGTTTGAAACTCTTTCTGGGAGAATCTTTGTTTAACTAATCTCGAAAAATATTGGTCCTTGAGACTCTTATCCGCCAGCCCATTCTCTCTTAACCGCAACACATTCATTCTCAGTTCATGAGAAATAGGAAACCCTTTATAGAAATAAAAACCAAATAGAAACTTCGCGTACGGCTTCTCAAAACGGTAAATCATAGTTTTGCCCCACTCATCGTTGAACTTCGGCTTGTTATACCAATACACGTAATTCGGTACCAATGAATACAACATTGGAGTTCTACTGACAGTTGTGATGGCGTTTAGAGTTGTATTACAGCCAATCCTGTCGAAAGTAGGCAAACTGTGTTTCTTCAATAGGGCATTTTTAAGTTCAGTCGATAAGAATTTCTTTAAACTCATACTAAAGCAAGGTTGGTAATCGTATTTAATTAAATCATCTTCGTTTGAAACTTGGTATTGTTTGTTCGGGTCTGTGGTAAGACTGACGAGACTGGACTGATAAAACGTATTGATGAGGTAAGCGAACCAGACCCACACAATGAGGATGCACTTCAGTACCATCATTCGGGTGCGAATTATATCGCGGCTGTGTTGTAGTAAGTTGTCCAGTAGTTCCAGTGCGACTTGCCCTTTATCCTTTGCTTGCAGAAGAAATATCATCATCAAAGTGTACACAATAAATGCGAGCAGTAGCAACATCCACACCGTTGGATCAAATTCTATATACACGGTCTTCCAAATAGGTACAAGAGGTGCTGTCTTCACAACGAACTGCAACTCATCGTTGTAGTCATGGTATCCACAGAGGTAAGTAAATGCATGAGCTCTCGACACGACCATCATCATTCCACCAAATATAACATCAGTTTCGTTGTTCTGTAGCATTATCATGGGACCACTGGCTGTCATATTAGGAAAGACTGAGGAATATTGGTTAGCATCGTAACTGTAATTATAAATCACTTTGAACTGTTCCTTTTCACTAAGTAATTCAAATATATATTCCTCTGTGCCCAGTATGGTTTTAATATCTTCAGATTTTATAGGGTTGATGGTGAAAGGAGGTCGATGACCTAAAGATGCTCTGAATGTGCAGTTTTTTAGTCCAGTCACTAGTTTGTTGGGGTATAAATTTTTCGAAATTTGGGAGCATAATCCGAGGTTGATGATCTCAGTGTAATATCTACCGCAGGCGTAGTTATCAAAAGGGTTGTAGGTGTAGAGATGAGCATCATGCGTACCGTTGACAACTACGACATTATTTGCATGAGATTTTAAGATGACATCGAAAATGTTACGAAGCTCGTCAGTTTTTAAACACTCGATAACAATTAAGAAACGGGCGTAAGGATTCCAATAAGAGTCCATTATGAGGTACTCAAAATGCTTCGTGAACATGGTAACGTTCTTAGAAGTTATCAAATATCCTCGATTCTCCGTTTCTGACTTGTTATCTGAACTTCTGGTTACTAGTGAAAGTGTTTCCATGGTGTGAATTGCTTTAAGCAAATCTTCATCATCAGTATCTATGCTCACGTGTGTGATTTCTGTAAAGTATTTGGTTAATATAGTGATTACACACTGGATCAAATCTTCATTTCTCATGTGCTCTATAGGGATAATCTGGCATTGTCCTATGTACAACATGAAGAACAAACAGTACGTCACTAACATTCTGCGTACCTGTATTGAATTTTTTGAACTTGTCTGGACTCCAAGCTATCTCTAAGCATTTTAGAACCTAAGTTCTAAAAAAGGATTGATTAAGTAGTCTTTCTACTCCTTCCTTTGTAAAATACTTGTAACTTCAGAAGCAGTTAATGTATCGTTTTACAAATGTAGTGTAGCTCCGATTACTGTTCGAAATGTGATCTAAGAACTCATTCTTTAATGCTCACATTAATCTAATTTTGATTAGTTTTTTATTATATTGTCACAGTAATAATAATCAGTGGGTAGCGTAATATTGGACTACATTAGATATAATATTATTTTTTACATTGACATACATTTTAAATGTGTGAGTTTTATTTGTCTTTGTTGCCTAATTGATTTATTACTTGGTAATCTGCATTGATATCTGATTACAAACTTCATACACTTTTTTTTTTCTATAATAGTTTGTGTTCTATAGACGGAAAAATTAAAGGCTCATTGCATGAACTAATCATTGAAATATCTAATACTTTCTATCTAGATCGAATACTTTTTAAGTGTGGGAGAACCATGCTTCGGCTCGAATAGGCCGGTTCGGCCGGAGTGATACCACGGCCTCACAGAAAACCGACGTGAAACAACGCTTGCGTTGTGTTTTGTCGTATGAGTGAGGTTACCGGAAGCCCAACCCCGAATCCCAACAATCCTCAAATTCCTAATCCCCAAAAGGCCGGTAACGCATTTGTGACGCCTCGGTGTTTCAGCAGTGTCCATAGGCGATGCCGATTCTTACCATCAGGTGATCCGTCTGCTCGTTTGCCGTATATCCCATAAAAATATTTTTTAGATATTTTACATTACACAAGGTAGTATAGAAGGAAAGTCGTGTTATCACTACATAATATGAAACAAAGTCGTCATTCGCCGTCTGTCTGTCTCTATGTATGCTTAGATCTTTAAAACTACGCATTGGTTTTTGATGCGGCTAATAGATGGAGGGATTCTTAAGGAAGGTTTATATGTATAATACATGCATATTGCACCCATGTGAAGCCGGGCGTCGCTAGTATTACATAAAATTACGGGATTAAAATTAAATTCGCTAGATAATAATACAATTATATAAATAGATTCAAACTTTAATGAACCATTTCAATATACATACACAGCTAATTATATGTAAAGTTCTATGAATATATCCATCAAAACAACAATGTAAAACAATAGATAGCATTGAATCTCTTAACTTATTAACTCCGAATCGAACCACAATGGCGCTGTTGTCGCCCAAAAGTTTCCATCAATAAGGGTCATACTTTTAAGTATGGAAAAGTATGATAAATGATCATTGCAAGTAATGTTTTCAAATATATTATGTTCATGTTGTTGAATGCTATTACACGACAATTTTAGTGTCAATAAGGGAACTGGGCGTGTCATTATTATTTTTGATTTATTTCATGGTTACATGTCATTGCGGATAGTCATCAGTTGATGACATAGTTACCTAATTAGGTGGCAACAATAACACTTTTCGATTTAAAAAAATAATGACCTTTTTGCTCCAGGCTATGTGGTTTAAATAAATATGAATGTCGAAGTATATTTTTATTCATTCGCAAATTAATCTATAGATGCAGTAGGTACTGTACATTATATAAAAAAGGTTCTTGTGCCGACTATTATTTGAATCCTAGGTGCTCAATTAAAATTACACTTAAGTATTTCAAACTAGTTTTAAACTCTTAATTTTGAACGAGTTTTAAGTCCGAGTTCTTGGGCATATTTAATTCTATAACGAATGTGATGGTAGCCACAGAGCAACCAAAAATGTAGATCCTCCAAGGAATAGCAAAACGTACTTGAAAGTCTTCTTTCACAAAATGTTGTTCTAAGTCTCGAAGATAGTTCATATCATCGATCACTTTGTCCACCAAACCGAGCTCCCTGAGTCTAAGGGACGTATGGTGCAGCTGATGTATCATCGGAAAACCTTTATACAGGAATATGGAGTACATTACCTTGGAATAAGGCCTTGCTAGCAACATAACCAATGTATTACCATAATCATCTAAAAATACCTCTTCATTGTACTCATACTGTCCATTCAACATTATAGAATACAGATCATTGGATTTTATTACAGTCGTTATACTTTCTACTAATCCAACACAACCCTCAATCCTCTTGTAGTCATCATCTGATTGTACAGACTCTATGTAGTATTTCTCCATTACTGAACTAAAGCATGGTCTTAGCCCATGACGAGCGATATCTTCTTCGTTGCTGATCTGATATTCACTAGCTGGATTTGTAGTGAGGCTAACAAGACCAGACTGGTAGAAGGAGTTGATCAAATACGCGAACCACATCCATAGTATGAGCACACACTTAACTGACCATCTGCTACTGATAGTGTGTCCATGAAGCAACAGATTGCTGAAAAGCGTTATCACCACGTAGCTTTTGTCTTCGGTGCGTAGTAATATAATTATTATCATAGAGTAATTATAAGAGACACCAATAGCAGGATCCAAACATTTGTTTCAAATTCTAAATAAATATTCTTCCATGGAGGGACACGGAAGCTCGTTTTACTACAAATCTTATCTCATCTGTATAAGCAAGATGGCCGTATACAAAAGAGAATGCCAACGCCGAGATGGCGTCAGCAACAATCCCCCTAATACGGCGTCTGCTTCATTGTCTTGCACCTTTTTCAATGACCCAACTGCTTCCATCTCTGTAGATACCGATGGAACTTCTTCAACAGCAGCATAATCATTTATGATATTAATGTCAAACTCCAGTATACGCCCGATTAATTGAAATATGTAAGGTTCTACTCCGTTCCTTAGTGGAGATGCCATGTTTGTATCGTTAGTAGTTAGTATTGTGTATGGGGGCCATTGGGTTATGACGACATCAAATGTACAGTTTCGTAGCTGAGTAACAATATGTTCTGGATAAAGATCATAGAAGAAGGATTGTGAACATTTCCCATAGTCAATGATATTGTCGTATCGTTTACCACACCCATAGTTATCGAATGGGTTGTAACCGAACAAATGAGCGTCATCAGTGGCATTCATAACGATGACGTGACGTGCGTGCAGCTTCAAAAAAGTATCAAAGATTACCCTTAAGTCATTTTTCTTGAGATCTCTGATGATGATCAAAAACAATGCTAATGGGTTCCACGAAAATTCTTTAGTTACCTGAGGAAAATAATTGGCGATGTAGTATGAATTTTTGCTTGATATCAGATAGACTTGGTGTGGTATTATACTTTTCTTCGTTGGTTTTCTTGAGAGTAACGTTACTGTTCCAGCTTCATTGATAGTTTTCAAGATTTGCTCGTCTCCAGCTCCACGACCTGAATATGTGATCACTTTTAATTCTGCATAATGTTCCCTGACCATATCTCTTACACATTGGATGATTTTTTCATTGTACAATGGGGTAGGAATTGGTATGTTGTAACAGTTCCCTTTGCAGAACAGCACACACATAAAGAAGTACACGACCAACATTTTGCCGACTGAAACTGAAGTCTTGTATATTTTCTCTTACGTTTGTTACAATGGAAGTTCCCATTTATCATCAATCATTATTGAGAAGTATTTTTTAGAAGAGGTGTGACGTTAATTATAAGTTTTGGTACGTAGTGGTTAATAAGGCTAGATGATTGACAGCATCAGGCACTATACTTAAGTTATATTTATTTCGATATTTTTAGTTAGAAATATTAGGTACATACAATAAAATTAAAAAATAAATTTTTGCATCGTATAAAACATAATTCAAATATAAATACTATGACAGCTATAATACATCCTATTATATAAATAAACCAAGGTACAACAAGTCTAGTTTCAAACGGTTTATCATGGAATTTGTACTTAATCTCTCTGATATAATAATGGTCACGTAAACTTTTTTGAACTAAACCTGAATCTTTAAATCTAATCGCATTTTCCTGCATTCTGTCAGTAAGTGGAAAGCCTTTAATGAAAAACATACTGAAAATAAACTTGGCATATGTTTTATCGAAGTAAAAGACCGTGGGCTTGCCATATTCATCATAGAAGTGTTTTTTGTTATAAACAAAAACCGATTTTTGAGAGAGTGTAAATAATTCATCAGAGTTAGCTACTTTTATCAAGGTTAACGTCGGATCTGGACAAGTGGTATAATCTTTTAAGTACATAACATTTTCTTCCTCATCATTTATGTAACTGACCATTCCGGGAAAAATACAGAGCTTAAGGTTATGTTCAGCCAATTCCTGTTCGTTAGTGATTTGATGTTCGTTTAATGGATTTCCAGTCATGCTTACTAAGCTAGATTGGTAAAGGCTATTCATAACGTTTGCAAAACATATCCACATCATTAAGATGCACTTCACAGATACTCGGTCAGGCATTTTAAGGCCATGAGAGAATAAAATACCGAACAAATTCAACATGACATCGGTTCTGTCTTTAGCCCGAAGCAGCAGGATCACCACTGTCGAGTAAGACAGAAATACTAACAATAGCATACACCACACCGTAGGACTGAATTCCAAATAAACATATTTCCACGTAGGTACACGGGAGGCTCTCTTTACAAAGAACTGTAATTCATCTTCATAATCAAAGTACCCATGTAAATATGTAAACGTATTTGCTCGACTGGATGTTAGCAAAGTGCTACCGAACATAACATCAGTTTCATTATTTTGGAGTTTTGCCATTGGCCCTGTAACTTTCATATTAGAATTGACTGTACTAAATGTATTACTGTCGTAATCGTAATCATACCTGACTTGGAATTGTTCTGTCTCTGCTAGTATTTTAAATATAGTTTGCTCAATACCTACTTTTAATCGATCATCTACAGATATTTGTGATGGATCAATACTAAAAGGAATTCGATGTGGAACAGTGGCGCGTAAGGTGCAGTTTCTCAGGCCAGTCACGAGTTTGTTTGGGTAGAGATTGTTTGTTGCTTGTAGACATACACCATAGCTTATGATGTCCTCGTAATACTTCCCGCAGGCGAAGTTGTCGTATGGATTGTAGGTGTACAGATGTGCGTCGTCAGTGCCGTTCACCACGAGTACGTTGATAACGCGTGTTTTTAATAGTACGTCAAACACTTTCTTTAAATCATCTTTCTTTAGTGTCCTTATTAGGATTAAGAATCGCGCAGTCGGGTTCCATGTTGGGTCCTCGAGAAGGTTTTGAAAATACTCTGTGAATTCTGCCGTAGTCTTCGCAATGATAAGATAGCCTTGGTGTCTGAACGATGAATGCGTTACAGTTTCTCTATATACAATCGGTGTAATAGCTGATGAGTGAATTGTTTCAGAATGTGATCTTCATTTGAATTCATATCAACAAATGTTAGCGTATTTTCGGAAAAATATTTTGTGACTATGATTTGTATACATTCTAGAGAACTTTTATTTGGTTTTGATCATTAATGTAAATTTTATCATTATCACTTTTACAGTTAAAGTATAACATTGAGAACAATAAGTAAATAACTAGCATTTTCCATAAAGTTGGTCGTGGAATAAAGATTGATGCGTTAAATATCAGATTTAGGGACTCATTAAAGGTTTTAGTAATGTTTTTATTAGTTTCTGATTATTCAGATTTATATCTTTGTTAATGAATCAGACATTAATGGAGTTTATAGAATTGTGTAGGTAATTCTATAATTACCTACACAATTCTATAAACTGTGACTATTCACAGATTTCCTGATTATTATTATTACGACATTTTTGAAGTTTCCTTTGTTTTGTATTGATCTTATTTGGGATTGATATTATTGAAGAAATAATATACATGCCATACATTGTAATATATTCAGAGCTCTCGATGAAATAAAATAAATTAAAATGAACTTTTTTATAATTTTATTCAGTATATGAATGTAACTAAGTTCACAATAAGAACTTAGCACAAGCTTCGGGAAGTTTTGATAAAATTACTTTCTGGGTTCCTTTGAAATAAAACATAACAAGAAAAGTTTTTAAATTGATAAATTCAAATAACTTGGACATGATGTATGTACCATTTTTTTTAAGGTGAAAATCATCCAATGACTTTTCCCGCTTAGGTGAGGCAGGAGGGAATGTCAGACTCTTACTGACTAAAAACCACCCCGTTCCTACTCCTGCACTTCGAGCCGGAGTCCCGGTAACCCGTTAGGTTCTCCGCGGCTCCGTATTGGTATCAGTCCTATTGGGTGGTTTTAGGTGGTATTAGTCCTATCCGTGGTGGTCTGATGGCTCTTTGAGGCGCGCGCGGAAGGTGACGCGCCGTACGCTCGGGTCTGGTTCTGGTCAGGCGGCGAGTCACCCATGCTCGCCGTCCGCAGGCCCGCAAAATATTTATAATCAATATAATTATCTGAAATCTACGAACACTGAGGGATGATTGAGCAAAAATTTAGTAGACCCAACAAAATTTTTGCTTTGTTGCATTTTTCAAATTTATCTAAACTATACGTATTTCAGTATACATCAATATTATGTATTTTATCTCAAATAAAAGTACCTGTAACCGTAATGCCTTTATATAAATGATTTAACCGTAAAGTGAAACAAAATATTTGCTACTAAAAATTTATTAATATAATTTTATACGCAAGCAATAGTGGATACAGCTTAATATAAACGTCAATGTGCTTTATTGAAGTGTTTTCTTAATTATTTCAAGTCTTTTTGCCTACAAAGAAGCCTTCTTAATCTGCCCAAATAATTAGCAGAATACAGTATCTCAAATATAAAAACAATAGTTGCTATAACACATCCCACAAAATGAATAAACCATGGTATGACAAATACTGTCTCAAATTCCTTTACATTGAATTTAAATTTGATCTCTTGCGCGAAAAAATGATTTCTCATTGCTTTATGAAGTAAACCAGTTTCTCGCAAACGAATTGCATTTCGTCGCATTCTATCAGTTAGTGGAAAGCCTTTGTAGAAAAATGTAGCATAAATAAACTTGTTGTATGCTTTATTAAAGTAATAAACTTCAGGCTCGCCATATTTGTTGCAAAAAAGTTTCTTGTAATATTGAAACAGAGATTTTTGTGTAAGTGTGAATAAATTACTAGAATTGCCTACCTTTTTCAAATTACCTATTGGATCCAAACATGTATTATCGTTTTCATTTCGCAGCCATGTTTTATATTTAATAGATTCAAATATACCGGGCAGCACGCAAGGCGTTAAATTATATTCAAAAATATCATGTTCATTACTTATTTGGTTCTGTTTTGTTGGGTGCTGGGTTATGCTCACTAAGCTGGATTGATAAACGCTGTTCATCAAATACGCAGACCACACCCAGATTATCAAAATGCACTGCACAGACATTCGGTTGGGTATCTTTAAGCTGTGAGACAGTAATGTACCTAACATATTCAACATGACATTGAATTTGTCTTCAGCGCGGAGCAGTACGATCACTATTATAGAGTATGCCAGAAATAGCAACAATAATATACACCACACTATGGGACTAAATTCCAAATAAACATATTTCCACGTGGGTATATAGGGAGCATTCTTTACAAAAAAACGTAAATCGTCATGGTAGTCCAGGTACCCGTGTAGATACGTAAATACATCAGCTCGAACATCTGACAATACAACGCAACCCAACATGACATCAGATTCGTTATTCTGAAGCTTCACCATTGGTCCTGAAACTTCCATCTTTGAATTTATCACAGAGAAAATATTTTCAACGTCATGACTAAAATCGACTTCGAAGTGTTCTGTTTCTCCAATCAATTTGAATAAATGTTGTTCAATCCCTAATTTGAATCGTTTGTCTACGTCTGGTTGTGATGGATCTATGGCAAAAGGAATTCGATGTGGAACAGTGGCGCGTAAGGTGCAGTTTCTCAGGCCAGTCACGAGTTTGTTAGGATAGAGATTGTTTGTTGCTTGTAGACATACGCCATAGCTTATGATGTCCTCGTAATACTTCCCGCAGGCGAAGTTGTCGTATGGATTGTAGGTGTACAGATGTGCGTCGTCAGTACCGTTCACCACAAGAACGTTGATAACGTGTGTTTCTAACAGCATATCAAAAACTTTCTTTAGGTCTTCTTCCTTTAGTGAGCTTATTATGATTAAGAAACGAGCGTACGGGTTCCACGTTTGCTCTTTGAGGAGTTTTTTAAAAAATGTTACGTATCCTGCAGTAGTCTTCGCAGTGATGAGATATCCTTGATGTCTGAACGATGATTGTGATGTAGCCTCTCTAGATACAATTGGTGCAACAGCTGCTGAGTGAATCGCTTTCAAAACGTGGTCGTCGTCAGAACTCAAATCAATATATGTTATTGTCTTTTCAGAAAAATACTTTACTACAATATTATTTATGCACTCTAAGAGATTGCTATTCAGCTGTGGCGTTTTAATATAAAAGTTATTTTCACAGTGAGAATTGAAATAAAATAAAGAAAATATGAAGTAAACAACCAGCATTTTAGAACATAAACGATTATTGGACGAAGATTGATGAGTAGTAGGTATTTGTTTTGTGCGTACAAAAGCGTTTATTACAATCCATTTAGTATATTATTTGTTGGTATCTTGATTTTAATCTAAGTCGGGGGAAGGTTATTAACATAATTAGGTAGGTAAAGTTACCAGTATTGAATAGCGTCATTAAGCTTAATTTTAAAATATTGATTTGTAAAAGTGGTATTTTCTAGCCTATTTACACAAACAAATATCATTTCATCTTTGATTACTCATATCAATTCATTTTGAGATTTTATTTTTAAGTTGATAATAGTTTACGCAATTAACTAGGCATATAATGCTTGATGTCATTGTTCTATTAAAAAAGATGTAATTAAAATCTAACTTTTACATTAGGTGTACCACAAGGAAGTGTCATGGGTTCAACCTAAAATTAAATAAAAAAATATATTCAATTTTTTTTTAATAAATCGTTTATTATTAGCATTAACTGAAAATGTGTTGTACTAAGTGAAATAAATTTAGACACAGTTTTTTTTACAATTGATAACATGATAATTATGTATGTAAGTCTTCAAAAATGAAACACACGTATTTGGATGAATACAAAAGTAATCTATATAGACTAAGTTGTTTATTGCACACAGCAAACAGTTATTTTACTTCGATAAAATGTTTTTATTGCCTCCCGACCGTAATTCAAGAATGAAAACAATAGTTGCTAGCATACACCCTACTCCATAGACAAGCCAAGGCATGATGAATATAACCTTAAATCTCTTTTCACGGTATTTGTATCTTATCTTCTTGGCGTAGAAACGATCATGAAATATTTTGTAAACTAAACCGGTTTCTCGCAAACGAATTGCATTTTGTCGCATTTTGTCCGTTAGTGGAAAGCCTTTGTAGAAGAATGTACCATAAATAAACTTAGCATACGGTTTATCAAAGTAATATACACGGGGGTATCCATATTCATCATAAAAATGATCTTTGTGGTATTCATATATAATCTTTTTTGCTAGTGTATATAAATGCATTGAGTTAGATACTTTTTTTAAATTGTCGAATATGTTTATACATGCTTCATTTTTTGGAATAGTTAAATGTATTTCAGAATATATGAAGTCCAAAAATCTGGGAACAATACAGGGTTTTAGATTATATTCTTTTAATTCAAATTCAGTGGTAATTTGACGTTCTTTTATGGGTTTCCCAATTATACTTACTAGGCTGGCCTGGTAAGCGCTACAAATTACATACGAAAAGATTACCCACATTAACAATATGCACTTTACAGACATTCGGTCGGGCATTTTAAGACTATGGGAGAGCAAAGCGCTCAATAAATTCAATATAACATCAACTTTGTCTTCAGCGTGAAGCATCAATATCACTATTATTGAGTACGACAGAAATACTAATAACACTAAGCACCAGACCAAAGGACTGAATTCCAAATAAACATATTTCCAATAAGGAACATAGGATGCGCTCTTCACAAAGAATCGTAAATCATCATGGAAGTCAAGGTAGCCGTATAAACTTTCAAATGCATCTAATCGACTGGATGTTAAAGGTATACTACCGAAAATGACATCAGTTTGGTTGTTTTGCAATTTAGACATTGTTCCTGACACTTCCATATTAGGTCCTATTTTACTATATACATCATTGTCATATTTATAATTAAAGATTACATTGAAACCTTCTGTTTTACCAAATTCTATAAATAAATATTGTTCAATGCCAAGCACTTTTGGTACACCTGCTGGTAGTTGAGAAGGGTCTTCAGAATATGGGGGTCTCTGTGGAACAGTGGCGCGTAAGGTGCAGTTTCTCAGGCCATTCACAAGTTTGTTTGGATAGAGATTGTTTGTTGCGTGTAGACATACGCCATAGCTTACGATGTACTCGTAATACTTCCCGCAGGCGAAGTTGTCGTATGGATTGTAGGTGTACAGATGTGCGTCGTCAGTACCGTTCACCACGAGTACGTTGATAACGCGTGTTTTTAACAGCATATCAAAAACTTTCTTTAGATCCTCTTCCTTCAGTGAATAGATTATAATTAAAAACCGTGCGGTCGGATTCCATGTTGGCTCCTCGAGCAGTTTTTGGAAATATTTAGTGAATTCCGTAGCAGTCTTCGCAGTGATAAGATAACCTTGGTGCCTGAAATGTGTTTGAGTTTCAATCTGTTTGGATACAACAGTTGTGGTCATCAAGGAGTGAACTATTTCTAGAATCTCGTCACCAGTGTCCATATGAACGAATGTTAGGGTATCTTTCACCGAGAAGTATCTTTGGACAACATCTATTACACATTTATGTAAATCTTGATTTGATTGATATTTGAAATTAATAACATTTTCGCTGTTACAATTACTATAAAAGAATGATAGAAATATAACTGAAACCAACATTTCTGCAGGCGTAATTTCTGATATTGATTAACGTTGTGTTTGAAAGATTTGAGTCAAAGTAACTTTCCATTACATATATAGTAATTAAACCGTTTATCATAATGGATCCTAAATAGTACACACGTCGTTGTTTAGATTACAGGTTCCGATATCAATCTTAACAACAAACCGGGCTAACTATCAGCGGTGTTCAGGCATCCTAGATTAACTCTACAACATTCAAATTCGTTCTGTAGTTTTTGCACAAATCGTCCATCAATCGTCAGTAACTTTGAACTTAGTTATTTGTGGAAATTAGGACTATTCGGTGAAAAATGCGTAATCAATTTATTTTTACTGAAATTTCACGTTGTTTGATCCTCGTGTCTCGTAGGGCCAGCGGTACCGGTTGTTCTATGACAGTAATTACAACTCGATAGATATACTAGCATTCAGTTGAATCTGGTTAAGACTTAGAGCCAATTAATGAAGGCGGGAGCGGAAAGATAAAAAAACCGGATAATCTATTACATTTATTATTTATTGGATTTTAATCGAATATGTAGGCATCGACAACGATATTTTTTGTGAGTTAACAATCACTCACATCACAATTACGACTACTAAGCAACCAATAAAGAGCAATCAACACTACATCATAAAATATCTAAATCTTCGATAAATTGTACAAAGTACCACCATTTTTAAATGCTGCAACGTAAAAAGTGACTGTAAGTACAGTGATTTTTTTAAGCCCTGATCACAAAGAGCCCTAAAACAAATAACGTAGGGTTATAAAGTCAAGCAAAATGTCTAAGAGGTAATAACAACAATTCCTCTATTGTGAGGCATACTAAATTAACTAAAAATCGCGGGTTACTCACGTGAATATACTGAGAAAAGCTCTACTAGTTTCGAACCACAGAGGGATTCTTCTTCATGAGCAGCGTCCTACTGTCACTAGGCTGAGCGACATCGCCGCGACCGCGATTTTTAGTTAATTCCACCATCTTTTCTGTCTATTAGTATTCTATTATGTTGATTTGCTTCATTATCTTCTATTATATCAAGCCCATAAGCTTATGTAAAACCAGTTTTGTTAAAAACCTGTAGGTTTGGAAGTTGGTCGGCATTTCTTATTTCTGCAACGAGTCCAAATAATTTCATAAGTAAAAACGACACTCGCTGTACCGCATCCCAAGAAATAGAGTTCCCAAGGTAGAACAAACATGGATTCAAACTCTTTGTCATAAAATCTCATTTTAATCCTCGAAGCATGTCTTATATCATATACCATTTTCCGGATAATCCCAGCGTCGTTCAGGTATAGCATCTTTACTCGTATTTTATCAGCAAATGGAAATCCTTTGTGGAAATACATTGCATAGATGAATGGAGTCAATGGATAGTGAAAAAGAAATACTGTAGGATTACCATACTTATCGTAAAAGATATTCTGTTCATACAAAAGTGTAGATTTGGTTGTTAGACTGTACATATAATTTGACGAAGCAATCATTTGCAATGCATGCTTAGGACTTCGGCATTTTACGAATTCTGAAAATTCTGACACATCGAATGTCGGTTTTAAAAAATCGACTATACCTGGAACGAGACAGCCCTTCAAATTGTACTGGACAAACTCCAGGTGATTGGTAATCTGATGCTCTTTTACAGGGTGTCCGGTCATACCTGTTAAACTGGATTGGTAAATGCTGTTTATCAAAAACGCAAACCACACCCAGATAATAAAAATGTGTTTCATGTGTGGTCGGTCGGGGATTTTAAAGCTTTGAGAGAGCAAAGTACCATACATTTTCAATATGATGCTTGTTTTGTCTTTAGACTGAAGCAGCACAATCACCACTATCGAGTATATCAGGAACACTAACAATAGCAAGATCCATACCGTAGGACTAAATTCCAAATAAATATATTTCCATGTGGGAACACGTGAAGCCATCCGTACAATGAATCGTAAATCGTCGTAGTTATCCAGATGTCCGTGCATGTATGTAAACTTATCATCTCGAAGTTCTGTTAGCAATGTCGCACCAAACATGACATCAGTTTTATTTTTTTGTAGCTTTGACAATGGCCCTATTATACTAAAGTTTTCGTATATTTTACTATATTCACTTGCATCAAAGTCGTAACTGTAATTGACTTTGAAATGTTCTGTTTCTTCAATTACTTTTAATAACTTTTGTTCAACTCCTATTCTCAATAGTTTGTCATTATTTGGTTGTGTTGAATCAACAGTAAAAGGAATTCGATTTGGAACAGTGGCACGTAAGGTGCAGTTTCTCAGGCCAGTCACGAGTTTGTTTGGGTAGAGATTATTTGTTGCTTGTAGACATATGCCATAGCTTATGATGTCCTCGTAATACTTCCCGCAGGCGAAGTTGTCGTATGGATTGTAGGTGTACAGATGTGCGTCGTCAGTACCGTTCACCACAAGAACGTTGATAACGCGTGCTTCTAACAGCACATCAAAAACTTTCTTCAGTTCTTCTTCCTTCAATAAACTGATCACAACTAAGAATCGTGTGAAAGGGTTCCACGTTCGCTCGTTGCTAAGCTGTTCAAATAATATTGTGACTTCTGCCGTAGTTTCTGCATTGATGAGATATCCTTGGTGTCTGAACGATGACCATTTTGAAGTGTCTCGCTGTACAATCGGTGTAACAGCTGATGTGTGGATGGTTTTCGGAATGTTGTCATCATCTGAGTTCATGTCAACGTAAGTTAAAGTTTTCTCGGAAAAGTAGTTACTTATAATATTAGAAATACAATTTGGTAAACTTATATTTGGTGATTGATTTATAATATGATGAAAGTTAAGTTCATTCTTACAATTAATGAATGACATAGACAATAAAATGTAAATCGTGAACATTTTTGCTTGATATTGCAAGTTCTTTTATGGTTACACGTTTTCCATTAGACGAATGGTATGTGTTGTTACTTTAGTAGTTGTAATAAACATGGCGCACTCCCCCATTAGGCACCAGTCTTAATAAAGGTTAATTTATAGGAACTGCTTTTATGCTTTCTGTAGGTTAGGTAAAGTTTTTAATTTTAATTGCTATTGCATTAAGTCGTAAAAGTTACATTACCCATATTTTTATTAGGTTACGCTTGGGTTTATGATGCTGGCAGAAGCTAGTGTCGTCAAAATTTTATCTGATCAGAAATTATTTGCGAACTTTTTTAATTCAATAAACCGGTAAACGAGCCGACGGATCACCTGATGGTAAGTAATTAGCGTCACCCGAAACACCCGAAACAGCGGGTTAACGGCTAATTGGGGATCAGGAGAGGTATTCCTCGTAGCGCTCCCGTTTAGAACCGCGCTCATCTAAGCGCTCCCTATTTTTAATATTATAATATTTAACAAGCGCGCTATTTTTATTAAAAAACTATTAAAAATAATAATATTTATTTGACATTAATTGATTGCTATAGATTGTATAGAACAGTTTCACCTAAAGTAGGACAAAGTTAGTTGTCTAATTTTAATGAACAACTACAAAGTATTTAAAAAGTTTCGCAAGTTCTCTGTCCTCATTGGGGAATATGAGTTATTAATGTCAATAAAAATATAATTAGTCCGTAAGTTATTTTTTATTTTGTCGTATAATAAAACAATACTTAGATAAAACGAATCAAAGTTTAGGAGTGGGGGCTAAAAATGTTCATGGAAGTGACGTCACGCGACATTTCAAATCAATATATCGTCGAAAATATTCGTTTCTGTAAGAAAATAAAAAATACGTGTCTAATGATTTAAAATAATCTACCAGACGGCCATTAAAATAAAAAATTAGGCATCTACCCTATTATAAGGGATCTGTAGACTTTAGACAAGTGGATCCATCCACGAAGCAACTTCTGCAATCGTTACTTAGTCACCTAAATGTCTAAAAAATAAATACAATATTTGTTTCCAAGGAGTTTGACAACTACGGTCAAATGACGATCACTGGGCGACCTCCAGTTACATAATATTAATAGCATACATTAAACAAATTCCAAAGAAGGAACTCCAAACGTCGTCATGAACTGATATCTACTCACCTTATTTATATAGTTTTATGGTTCATTTTTATAAAACTGAGGTCAATTGAACCATTATTTTGTTATGTAACCTTAAATTATGTGATACCAAGATCAACGTATTAATCATTTGATAAAAGTTATTCACAGGATAAATATACCATAATGTTTTGATGACCTTAGGGTCTGCTAATATTGTCAAGGTCTATTCGATTTCCGTATAAAGTTTTTGGAATTGATTTGAAAATTCAGGACATAATGGGTGCTTGGAAAATTGAATAATACTTCAACCATCGAACCTAAGATGGTAAGGTCATGATCATGATTCGTAGAAGAATACAATATATCCAAGGTAAATAGACAGGCATTACAAACTATCTGTGTAGGAGACCCATGCTTCGGCACGAATGGGCTGGCTCGACCGGAGTGATACCACGGCCTCATAGAAAACCGACGCGACGGCGATGTGAATTTTCGTCGCGTAAGTAAGGTTACCGGAGGCCCAATTATCCCCCCTTCCCTACACCAATCCCTGAATCCCCAACAATCCTCAAAATCCTAATTTCCAAAAGGCCGGTAACGCACTTGTAACGCCTCTGGTGTTCTAGGTATCCATGGGGGACTTCGATACTTACTATCAGGTTTTATTTTTTGGGGTGACCCGGTAAACAAACAGATTTATTCACAAACACTTCCAATAAATAGTGTTAAAATCATACTATATACTATTAAACTGTGTAAAAGTAGTTTGAATTAAAAACGGAAGTCATTATTTAATATGAACTTCGATATCGAGCGGATTATATTATAATTTATACCCATTTATAAATAATTCAATATACGTAATATGATTCATACTATAAAAAATATGTATAGTTATTCTATCTATTAAAATGTATTATGTCCATGAGGAACCTAATATTTGATAAATATTCTTGACCTTCTACTTTGCAGATCTTATAGGCATATTAAGATCTTTCTGTATCTATAATATAGGTGGTGAATATAAGCAGACATATATCCTGATTCGCAAGTGATCAACGCAACTCATGCACATCCATAATAAGAAAACTAGAGGAATTCCGACTGTGTGACAGAACGCAATAGATGCATGCCGTGAAAAGGGACATTTTATTTTAGTCTTTGTCTAGTAATGCCTAAACGGTTATTTTGAATTTGCGGAGATGCCAAAATGGTCATTGAGGCCTATGCTCAGTAATAGTCGTTTTGTGGCTGATATGATGTATATTTATTACTAGCTACTTCCCGCGGTTTCACACGCTCTGCTCAGCTCTTACTGGTCGTAACGTGATGTTTTATAGCCTATAGCCATCCTCGATAAATGCGCTATCCAACACAAAAATAATTATTCAAATCAGACTTGTAGTTACGGAGATTAGCGCGTTCAAATGAACAAACAAAAAAACAATCTCTTCCGCTTTATATAATAGTATAAGATTTTTATTTTTAGCTATGGTCGTCCCACTGCATGGCAAAGGCCTCCCTACCCTCCTTTCACTCGTCTCTTGTAGTTTTCTGTGGCCAATCCTTTTCATAGGCACCAAGTTCATATTGCCATCTCCTTCTGGGCCTATCGCGACATCTATTAACGTTGAGTGACCTCCACTCAGTAGTGAGTTTTGTTTTTTTGTTTTTATATGATGACGATGTAAATCTCTGTTTACCTCATATTCCTGTTATAAGCAAGAAGGTACATAAAGCAGTCAATTTGATAGCGATATTATTTCGTGGCTCCTCAGTGAGAGCTAAGTGAGTTGTTCCTGTTTAGGGCCACTTACCGTCGACATTGTTACCGACTGGATGTCGGTCAATATACAGCAGACACGCAGTAGATCTAAACTGTACAATAAAAGGTGTGAACAATTAATTGTAGCTTATTATGATTAGAGAGACATAGGTACATCATCTATTAATGAAGTCTTTGGTAAACGCAGTTACTTGGTAAGTGCGAGACAACGTAAGCGTTGTTTTGTTTCACGATGGTTTTCTGTGAGGCCGTGGTATCGCTCCGGTCGAGCCGACCCAGTTGTTCTGAAGCTAAAAATGTTCATATTGTGTAGGTAAAAATTATTATCATCATCATCAACAGCCTATAAATGCCCACTGCTGAGCAAAGCCTCTTTTCACGCTGAGAGAATGTTTGAGCATTAATCACCACACTTGTTCATTGCGGGTTGGCGATTTCAACCTTATAAAAATAAATTATAAAGTCCAGGTTTCCTCACGTTGTTTTCCTTCACCGTTTGTCAGTGGTGTCTAGATAATCTTTGAAATTACATACCTCGGAAAAGGTCACATTGGTACTTGATATTGGTACCAGCACCCTAATACATGAGAAGCGGGCGTCTTACCCTCCAGGCCTTGAGCGAAAATAGTAGTTGAGTAATTTTTGTTGAGTTGTGTATTATGTCTTATTGTAACTTGTGTACTTAATAAGTAAAAATGAGTCCAATTGCAATCGTGGTCAATAATAAAACAGTACATTTTTGCTCAGATAAGGTGCACACGCGTCAGTCAGCGGGTGCAGACACTGATAAATTGATGACCTATTATTAGTATTTGATAAAAAAACTAGCACACGAGTTAATTTTGTCATACTTTAGTAAAAAATAAATCAGTCTAAATTATCCTATATATTTAAGTTTTTTGGAGACTAAAGTTTTATTCAAATTTTTCAGTAGTTAGTAGTAGATATCCAGTAGCGTGGTGTGAGCCTTTATTATACAAAATAAGGTTAATAATAACATCACGCCTTTTATCTTTTATCTTTAATGCCCCTGTACAACGTAACACCCACTTTTTATTATTTATTTAGTTATGAGTCCCATGTAATAGGGGGCCTATTGCCATATACCGGGCACAATTCCAGACTCCGTGACTTTTTTTAAAACCCATAAAAACTCTGCCCGACCGGGGAATCAAACCTAAAACCAAGCCTAGCAGTCGCACTTGCGGCCACTTAATATGAATGTCAAAAAGTATCTGAAAAGTTATTTACCACTTCACTTACGTACGATTTTGTAGCAAAAAAGTAGATGTACAGAAAATTATAAACTGGAACTACTGTTTAGTATCTACATGGGCCCATACATGTGTAAATGTGAATGTCTGTCTGTTGCTCAATCAAGTCTCGCTGAAGCGAAGTATAATGATTTGCATACGGGAGGAGCAACAAATGTATACGTAATATCTTTATTTATACATATGTATGTATATAAAGGACGGAAGTGAATTAAATTACGCCGGTTTTTATCGAAGTATTTTTTGTGTTTTAAGTTTTTTGTAGCAGTCGCAGATGTATAAAGTGAAATGATGTGGTAATTAATACTGATATTTGTACAAAAAGTATCTGTGAGGCCGGTCGAGCCGGCCTATTCATGCCGAAGCATAGCACTTCTAGTATATTTCTAAGTGTGGGAACACTTAAAATAAACTAGACTTCCCCTTTGTAATATTAATCAAAATGCTGTATATGGGAAAACTCACTCAGACGAAGACCAAAAGGGTTACAAAAAACACTCAAAACTGAATATAAGTTACGACCTCGGTCAATACGGGTACTTACATTTATATTTTGTTATTCAGGGTATAAACACGGCCATTGTTCTAATTCGATTGTAAAAGTTTATTGATTTTATTTACTCCAGTCATTGACGT